CCACCCAACCTCTGCTTAAAAACCTCCATGGAAGGAGTGTCCATTCTACTGCCAAACAGCTCTTACCATCAGAAAGTTCTTGATGTTGAGTCGGAATCTCCTTTCTTGTAACTTGAAGCCATTGGTTTGAGTCCTACCCTCCAAAGCAGGACAAAAACACACTTTTGCTCCATTTCCCATCTGACAGCCTTTTAGTTATTTGACGATGGCTATCGAAACCTGTCTGTGATCTTCATTTTACTGTCGTTTATTAGTAGTTAAATAACGCTTTCGACTGACAAAATAAGACAGCTTTCCGGAGCATGTTAAAATCTGTAAAACATGATGGGACTGGGGATCTATTGCCTCTGGGAAGAAAGGGAGGCCTGTTCAGTCACTCGCTCATTGCTTGAGTGAGCGAAAGGAGTACAGAAACTCCTGCGGCTGAACAGTTTGTGTCGCTGGGTACATCTCTTGACTGCTTGTCATGATGTGGCAGTGACATCTGGTGGCACTAAGACTCTAACAAAGAAGTTAGAACTAAGTATTTTTGAAGTTTGTTTTTCTAGTCCTTTCTCCCTTAGTCGCAAAGTATATTAATTATACCAACCTCGGTTCTTCTTAGAGTTCTTTGGTAAAAGTCACCATCATTTTTCATTTAACATTTAACTGCCCACAACTGCATTCCAAAAACCTCTACAAGTCCCCCCACCCCAGTTGCTGGATTGCTATTACCGCTGAATAGCTTACATTATGATATGACGATAATTTGCTTTGACTCAGCTTTGAAACTATATTATTCTTTTTTTATTAGTATTATGTATATACTGCCTTTCTCCCTAGGCACTGAGGCAGTTTACAGTCCCAAGACACCAAAATAAATACATTATGTAAAATGAAGACCAAAGTTTTGGTGCATGTGGTTTTAGTTTTTGCATGCACCGAAACCTGACTACCAAGCCATCTCAAGAGAAAAAGCATCTGTCTGTGGCCCAGAAACTGCAGCCTTTCAAAAGGTAAGGATTGGAATGCATGCACTGCTTGTAGTAAGAAAATGTCCTGCATTGTCCATCCCCCTTTGTTAAGAAAGAAACTGCAGTTTGAATTTCACTGTGGAATTTGCTTTAATCCCGATTTTAACTGCTTATTTTCCAGACTAGTGCGAGGTTGAAAATCTGGTGATTTTGGTGCTTTGAACAACGTTTTTCCTGGAATATGTATGGGTGAGAGAGAAAGAGAAAACCTGCAAATCGCCTCACGCATTTAATTTGGAAACTTTTCAGATGCTGTGGTTTCGTAAAGGCAGTTGGCCTAACCATCAAGCACTGTGATGCTGTCAAGACGAAAGCTTCTAGAGGACCACCCACGTCTCCTGGCCTGGGAATTCATTCCCCTTTTGAGGCATTATTTTTCACACTCCATTTGCATCTCAACTCGAGCAAGCTTCGCTCCAATTCCCCTTCCCTGCGTCATGGCCTTTGGTGAGTATTGAGTTCCTCTGGAGAATCCTCTCCAATACGCATTTTTGCAGTGGTGAGATGGAGGGTGGAAGGGAACTGGCAAGCTTTCATATCAGTCCTCTTGGGCCCAGCTGGACTAAGAAAACAAACTTGGCAAATATATTCCCAGACCACTTGGCAAATGCAAAAAAATGAAGTCAGGGTACTCCATGGACACAGTATATTCCTATGCCATATATAGGGCTAAAAATAACTTTATACAAACAGTCGTATAGCAATGGCCCAATGAGATGTACAAATGCAAACAATCGTTTACAGCTTCATATAAAATAAATACATATGTTTGCACAGAACACGTTACAGTGGTACCTTGGTTTGCATACATTTTGGATTACAAACCCAGAAGTGTGTGTCCCGGTTTGCAACCTTTTTTTGGATTACAACCCAATTTTTTGGGAGGCCCCGTTGGCAAAAGCGCGCCTTGGGTTACAACCTGCTTTGGTTTACAAACGGCCCTCCGGAACGGATTATGGTTGTAAACCAAGGTACCACTGTACTTTGTGTGATTATATACATTCATTGTATTTTATTGATGTGAAGCTACACATTATTGATTGCATTTCTATGTCTCATTGGCCATATGACTGTTCTTGTGAAGTTACATACTTTCCAGCTGGAATAAACGTCTGTCTTTAAATTTTATTTTACAGAATCCCTCTACCTTCGTACTTGTAGCACTTTATTTTAGCGGTCCTCACAACAAGCGTGTGAGGTAGTCCATTTGGACGCACCTCCTTTTACAGGTGCATTATGGGCACTGAGAACATTCCCCACTACACAGTGCCAATTCCATCATGTCAGTACCAAGTCCACTGCTGTTGCAGCAGTTAATTTTTTTTGCAAGGGCTATTGGCTTCAAGGTTACTTCTCTCTGTTTTAATATTTAACCAGGGGCATCTACTTTGGTTTATTTTATGTAGGTCAGCCAAATTATTGAAGAGTCAGCAGTGCCCCTGTTGGAACTGCCTCAAGGCCATGTGTGCTAGTTAGAAATTCATTTTCTATTGACAGTTCCCATCTGTTCCACAAGTGAACATAAGTGATTGGTTTGGTGAAGTCCTTTGGGCAGACCTCCCTTACATCATCCAGTTCTGCATCCCATAATATGACATATCTATGGGCCAGCTTGCTGTTGTCTGTAAGTGGGGAGGACCTCTGGCTCTGGTTGTGAACTTGCTTCATATCAGGGGGTGGTGAACTTGTGCCCCCCCCCCGATGTTTCTGGGCATCAGCCCCAGACAGCGTGGAACGTGGTTTGGAGTGATTAGAGTGAGGTTTCACAACAGCAGGAGAGCCATAAGTCCACTACTCCGGTTTTTTTACACAAGGCCCAAGATTCATTCTTTAGGTTTTAACCATCTGAAAAGGGCTTCCAGACTCTTCAAATGTCCCTATTTTCCAGAGACAGTACTGGATTTACAGAAGCCATCCCGGTTTCTGACTTCATCCCAGAATAGTCCCGCTTTTCCTTAGGATGTCCCTATTTTCATGGGAGAAATGTTGGAGGGTATGGTAGGACGTCCCTATTTTCATTGGGGGTGGGGGTGGTATGGAGTTACGTGACCACCAGAGATAAGTATCTATACAACCTTTAGAAGACATCTGAAGGCAGCTCTGTATAGGGAAGTTTTTTTAAAAAATATTACGTTTTTATATGTGTTGGAAGCCACCTAGAGTGACTGGGGCAACCCAGTCAGATCTGTGGGGCATAAGTAATAAAATTATTATTATTAATAATAATATTATGGAACAGGACATCCCTAATCATTGGAGAAATGTTGGAAGGTATGGGTTTTCAGTAGCAGGACTAAGAAAGACCTGAGATGTAGACCATGAAGAACAACTGCCAGTCCAAACACACAGTTCTGGCTTATAGGTGGACCTTTAGTCAGTATTTAGTTGCTTCAGATATAGATAGAGAGACAGAGAGATATAGTCATATGCATGTCATGGTGAATTTATTAATAATTTATTACACACAAAAAAGAACAATACAACATTGCTCTTCCTCTGAGGTGCTCTGGACAGCAGACATGGAGTTTTAGACTTGATTTATTGATTTAACCGTCCTTCACAGGCATTTTGGGACTCGGGTGGCGCTGTGGGTTAAACCACAGAGCCTAGGACTTGCCGATCAGAAGGTCGGCAGTTTGAATCCCCCCGATGGGGTGAGTTCCCGTTGCTCGGTCCCTGCTCCTGCCCACCTAGCAGTTCAAAAGCACGTCAAAGTGCAAGTACATAAATAGGTACCACTCCTGCGGGAAGGTAAACGGCGTTTCCATGCGCTGCTCTGGTTCTCCAGAGGTGGCTTAGTCATGCTGGCCACATGACCCGGAAGCTGTACGCCGGCACCCTCTGCCAATAAAGCTAGATGAGCACTGCAACCCCAGATTCAGTCACGACTGGACCTAATGGTCAGGGGTCCCTTTACCTTTACACAGGCATTTCAAACCTATTATATATCTGCCAGCCAACTCATTTCCTATAATTTGATGTGTGGAATGCCCATACCAAATTGACGTGTACAGTTATGACCATAATAATAATAATAATTTTATTATTTTCCCCAACCCATCTGGTTAATCAAGATACATGCCCAGACTGCCTCACATCTGCTCAAAGGCCAACATTCCTGGACCACGAAAGCCTCGCCACAGTACTTTATGCCAGGGTTTCTAAAACTTAGGTCTCCAGCTGTTTTGGGGCTACAACTCCCATCATCCCTAGCTAGCAAGACCTGTGGTCAGGGATGATGGGAATTGTAGTCCAAAAACAGCTGGAGATTCAAGTTTGGGAGACCCTGCTATATGTGCTGGTTGCTTTGAGACTGAATTACTGCAATGCGCTTTTTGTGGGGCTTCCCTTGCGCTTGATCTGGATGCTGCAGTGAGTGTCGAATGCTGCACACGATTGCTAACAGGCCTCATCACCATATAAAACCTTTGCTGTAGAGGTCTACACTGGTTGCTGGTTGCTACCAGGCCAGGTTCAAGGAGCTACTCTTGGTATATAAAGCCCTTAACAACTTGGGACCAGTTTACCTGTGAGATTTCCTTTCCCCTCATGTGCCCATTCATCTACTAAGACTGGTAGAATTGACATTTGTAAGAACTCATTTAGTGTGTGGAACGCCCTCCCTGTTGATAGCAAGCAGGCATCTTTACTGTATTCTTTTTGTCAGCTCCTAAAGAAAACCCAAAACATTATTGTTTAGGCACACCTACCCAGATGCTAAGAAAGTTGATGTGCCAAGGATAAAAAGGTGGAAGAATGCACTGGAACAGTCCATATCTTGGAAGCTCTAAATGGCAACTGGTGAAATCCTCACGGATGACATAGGCCTCTTTCAGTATTGCCTCATAATGTTTGGCTTTCAGCAGATGGGAAGACTTTGCCCAGGGCAGCCAAGTGGACCAATAAAGTGGAGTGCAGATCTTAGATGTTATGTAACGTGCCCCCACCCCCATGCAAAACAAAACGCTGAGCAGATAAGCAGTATTTGAGAGTTGCTCCATCAATTCTTGCTCTCACTCTCTTCCTTCCAAGTCAGCCTCAACATGGCTCTGTGGACATTCGTCCTCCTTGACCCAGTCTCAGTTTTCTTGCTGCTTGCGCTGATCTTCCTAACGATATTCTGGTTTCTGAGCAGCAGCCATGGGAAATCACCTCTGCCCCTGCCTCCAGGTCCTCGTCCACTCCCAGTCATTGGCAATTTGCATTTGATAGATATCAGAAGACAAGATTTATCATATATGAAGGTGAGATGTGGTGATGGCTTGTGGTGGGAGGGAGGGAGGCGTTGGTTTTCAGTGCAGCCAACGTAGAGTTTAGCTTTCCGTAAATCCCTGAGTATCGTTTCACAGTGTGATTTTCAGAGCAGATCACTTGCGATTATGATGGTGAAAATGTTAAACTCCTTAAATAATATTCGAGGTCCAAGGCTGTAGTCCTACATACCAGGGGCAGAAAACCAGGGTTCAGAATTAGAGGGCTGCTCCAGGTCTCCCCCACCTCAGAGACCACCTACCAATTTTGGCAGTGGCATGAAGAGAACCTGGGGCATGACTACCTGCAGCAGCACCTCATTTGCAGAGCAGAAGCAAATCAGTTACGTAAGTTTTCTGGGGTATTTTGTAGCTTCATCCATCCTGACCCAGTGCTATGATCAGCATCTGATGAGTCATCCAGTGAGATTGTCCCCACTCCCCTCGCCGACACCTTGGCCCTCTTGACAGCTAAGAGCGCAGTTTTTGGAGAGGTGACTGGTCACAAGGATCTAAAGTAGCCAGGGAAGATGCGTACTTGTTTCTCTGCTGCCACCAACAAGGCCTTTTTTCCAGCTGTGGGGCAGGGGAGATAAAATCCCCTCTTTTGCACTGGTTTATTTGACTGAAAATATTCATACACCGCTATTCATAAAAAATAAAAAAGATGCCAGGGCAATTCACAATTGGAACAATAAAACCATACAATAGAAACCATATTTAAAAACTTAAAATTAGAAATCAGCTGACTATGGCGGAAAGATATCTTCTTCATTGCTTGCATTTGTTTACAGCAGGTGTTTAAAAGGTTGAAACAGAAGGTGCCTTCTGAATCTCTATTGACACAGGACTGGACTGATGACAATGGCTCGGTTTCATGTTGTTGTCAAGTGAGCCTCACAAACTCAGGGAATGAAAAGAGACGCTCTTGCAGATGATCTCTGTGATCAAGCTGGGATATAAGGGTCCAGGCAGACCCAGAGGTACCTTAGACCCAAGTTGCGGAGGGCTTTAGTGCAAGGACTTGAACCTGGCTCGGTAGCAGGTGACAGATGCTTTAATCATGGAGTCACATGGCTACTAATAATGAACCATATGATGTAGATATTACTGCAAATTTATTATGCTGTTTTTGTGATGCAGAAATGACAAGAGGAGATTTGGTATACTTATCTGTGTCATTTATTATTCCTATGAGCTTTGTTCATGAAACCCATTAAAAAGTTATTCAAAACAACGATTCTACACCCATTGGAGCTTCCGAACAAGCTCCAAGGGCACCCACACATAGGGCGCATTGCAGTAATCCAGCCTCAAGGTTTCCAGCAGCAGTCGGGCTATCTCTGATCACTTGTTGTTCATGGGGGGCGGGGGAGCAGAAATCACTGACCCATTGAAGGTTGCACACACACAATAAATCACATTATGCACACAAAAATTCACATTGTTTATCAATTACTTATTATCCAGAGGTTAAATAAGGTGCATTTTCAGCTCCTAAAATTTCCTGGAAACAAACTTGCAATCAGCACAGCTGTGGTTTTGGTTTTTTTAAGAGTTGAAGGAACCCTCCTGTCCCTTTTAACCTGGCAAACTATTTTCTCTTATTGTTTTGAAATTTCATGAGGTTCTGAATATCAGAGAATGAGCACTTTAGCACATAAGGTATTGTTTGTAAAAAAGAAAGAAAGAAAAGAAGATCTGTTGTAGACATAAACAGCCCTCTTGTTTCACCTAAATGATTCAGTGGAACTACTTAAAAAGTATTGGAGTCTCCAGCACAAACTGAAATTTGTTCTTTTTGAAAAAACAAAAGTAGGATCCATTTCAGTTTGGGCCGCACCACTGTTTGCGGTGGGAACATCTTAAAACAGATTGGAAGCAGATTCTTTCTCCCCCCAAAAAATTTTGGGCACTTTAGTTTACCCCTCTCAGAGTTCCAATTCCCAGTGACTCTTAACAAACTACAGCGCCCAGATTTCTTTGAAGGAAAGGATGTGCTTTGAATGTGGTTTTAAAGGTCTAGCATGTACAAAGCCAGAGGCAGATTTAGGACTGCATGACCAGTTCTGCTGGACCGGGCACTGAGCCTAGCGGGCGCCGCAGGGCGTTGCAACCATGATGTAGTGAATTTAGCAGAATGGAGGGCAAGAGGCAGAGGGGTTCCAAATTTTGGCCTTGCACAGGGTGCTGCTGAAATTTGAAAGATCAAACTTCCCAATCAATCCCTCTTCCCAGGGAACACTGGAAACTGTAGTCCTGTGAGGGGAATAGGGGGTCTCCCAGCAACTCTCAGCACCCTTAACAAACTACAGCTCCCATAATTCTTTGGAGGATGGGGAGCCATGACTGTTTAAAGTGTATCATAGTGCTTTAAATGTACGGTGCAAATGTAGCTGCTTTTGATCCTACTTTTCCAATTGAGCCCTGCCTGTGACCATTTCTCATTCACACCCATGTTCCCCTCACAGAACTACAATTCCCAGAGTTCCCCCCTTCTCTGAATTTCCACCACCACCACCATTCTTGTAGCATTGCTGTGCTTTGGCTAGACTAAAAAAGAGATGAAAGATGGAAAGCAAACCATCAACATGCCCTGCCTCGTTGTAAAGTTCAACACAAAGGCAAAGAACAGTTGTGTGGTGATGTTAACAAAATCTGCTCCTTTTGCCTTATGGGGTATCCAAGAGCCTGTATACGAGGCTCGGTAGGAGAAATAACAGAGGCCAACCAGAGAATATTGAGAAGCCAAGCAGCTAGTAAGCCTGATCTTTATTGAACTGTTGCAACAGGGTCCTCACTCACCACACGCAGGAGAACAGTGGTGCGCAAGCCCTTATATTGACTTTTGAAATTGCCCACCCTGTAGCTCAAGAACACTCCCCAAAACATCATACATACCGCACAGAAGGAGGCAGTCTACAACAGAAATCCTGTCTACCAGGATACCTGACAATGGCCAGATTCTTTTGTGATGGTAAATACTTTAATTGCTGAATCCAGGTCACAGGCTCACCCTATTCATACACAAAGATGCCCTAAAGACAGGTAAGCAAAAGACAATATAGAGGCTTTTCCATTTCCTTTCTCCTTGCAGAGAAACATTTGAGGTCAATTTGGGAGAATCAGAATGGTTTCAGGATTGTTCTCCTGTACGATTTCAGACATGTGGTTTACATACTTATGTATATGTTTGCCTTGTAAATTTATGAACATTTAATTTATATATTTGAGACCTTAAGTTCTTATAACAGTGGCAATAAGGTGTTTTATATTTGCTTGGGCTTCTTCCCCCCGCCCGAAGTGGCACCAAAGAATGATTATGAAAGGAGATAAACTTTATTTCATCTTCACAGGAAGCTTCCATTCATCTTGCCGTATTGATTTTCTCATGCTCCGACAAGGCAGTGGATCCCCCTCCCCCTCACTGGAATAGTGGAAGGGTGGGGGGGCAAGAATGGACTATTGCAACCCTATTTCCATTCTCCAAGAGCCACACAACTGCAGAACTGTTGCACAACAGAATGCTTTTCACCACTTGGAAAAGTTGAAGAGCTTAGCTCTTGCATCCTCCTCTGGCAGCCTGCAGCACTGCATGTGAAATTTTTCAGCTTTCAAATTCCAAAAATGAGAGGTGCTGAAAAGTTGTAAAATGACTTGGGAATTCAAAAGATATTTTGGTTAAATTAAAATAATTTAGTTTCCCTTAGTAAGTAAAATGTATGTAAAATTGCATAGAAATAATTAAAAACAATTGCCAAATACTTGCAGCTCCCTCCCAAGGGAGTCTCTCCCACTGTCAAACAGCTCTTACTATAAGAAAGTTCTTCCTGATGACTTAAAATAAACAACTTATATAAAAGAAAGTAATATGCAACAATCTATTAGAGTGTAATAGCATGCTATAGAATCAACTCTTGAAACATCGACAAACAGAAATTCACTCTCAACAATTGCAATAAATCATTACTTAAATTATAATCAAGAAAAACGTAACAGCAAGCTCATCTTCTCTTCCAGCTTTCAGAAAAATATGGCCCAGTCTTCACGGTCTATTTAGGTTTCCAGAAGTTTTTGGTGCTGACTGGCTACGAGGCTGTGAAAGAGGCGCTTACGAGCAAAGGCAATGAATTCATAAACAGGCCTCCACTCCCAATATTCCAGCAGATGCAGAATGGACACGGTAAGAGCAACATGGGAAGAATACTTTCTGATGCATATTGTTCCTAAACGGGGCTGCAAGGGCAGCTGAAGGAAGGCAGGGAGAAGCACTAGAATTTGGGTGCTGTTAAAGGTCAGAACTTGTGTCTGTTCCTTTTAATTAGTTGTATAACAGAGTTTGAATTATGCTTTTGAATTATGGTGCTGGAGGAGACTTGAGAGTCCCATGGACTGCAAGAAGATCAAACCTCTCCATTCTGAAGGAAATCAGCCCAGAATGCTCACTGGAAGGACAGATCCTGAAGCTGAGGCTCCAATACTTTGGCCACCTCATGAGAAGAGAAGACTCCCTGGAAAAGACCCTGATTTTGGGAAAGATGGAGGACACAAGGAGAAGGGGATGACAGAGGACAAGACGGTTGGACAGTGTTCTCGAAGCTACCAGCATGAGTCTGACCAAACTGCGGGAGGCAGTGGAAGGCAGAAGTGCCTGGCGTGCTCTGGTCCATGGGGTCACGAAGAGTCGGACACGACTAAATGACTAAACAACAATATCACAGAGCTGGCCCCCACAGAGCTGCAATTCCCAGCACCCTTAAAGAGCTACATTTCCCAGGATTCTTTAGGGGTGGTGGAAATGTGCTTTGAATGTATGGCGTATATGCAGCTCATGTCCCATATCTGAAGGAGTACCGAAACCTGCCTAATTTTTCAGATCCTTTGCCAAAGCCCTGCTCCATCCGTCTGTGCGTTCCAGTGTGAGGTAGCTGGCTACTTGGGAGAAGGTCTTCTCTGCAGCCACGCCTCACATGTGGAATTTTCTCTCCAGACATGTTCTACTTTGCTAGCATTTGTGGGGGTGGGGTGAAGGAAGAAGAAGCCAAGTGGAGAGAGGGGCAGAAAGTGGGGAGCAAGAGGGTCTTCTCCCTTCCTGATTAACTCACTTGCTTTCCCAGATGTGCACGAGTGGGTGTGAGAGAACAAGGGAGGTGCCTTGCATGTGTTTATGTGAGAAAGAGCTGTGGGTCTGTGTGCATGTGTGTATATTTATACACACACACACACACACACACACTTGCCTGCTTGTTCCCAGGGGCATCTGATGGGACCCTCTAGAGAGCCGCTTGCCGGACTAGATGGATCCTTCGATCTCATCCAGCAAGTCCCTCTTAGGTCTTCATGTTCTGATCACTTAAGCCCCCACAGAACTAATTTATATATTACTTGGATTGGATAACTCCCCCGAAAATTCTTCTTTGTGTCTTTCGTTTGTTAATACCCTCAAACAATACATTTTTTCCTTAAAATCAACAACTCCCCTCTAACCTATCGAAAAGGATGTTTTTGGTTCAACCTTGCATACGGAGATCTAATTTTCCTGCTTACCCAGCAGCATACCTTCCTGGCTTGCTTGTGGGTGTATTGGCTCGGGCTGATGGGAGATGTAGTCCAAAACCTCTAAAAGGGCACCATATTGGCAAAGGCTGCAGCAGAGCAGAAGGAGCTGGGTAGAACGAAGCAATGCATCAGTCTTGCAGCTTCTGTGGCCCTTCCTGGTGCCTTGGTAGGACTTGATGAAGAGCATGCCTCAGTTATTGCTTCCTGCTCCTGAGTATTTTTTCACCGACAAAAGGCTTTGTGCTGGTTGGCAGTGGAGGCTGGTTCATTTGGAAAGATGGGGCACTGCCCTACAAACCTCAGCCAGCCTCCACTTACATCCAATCACTGCCTGTCATCTTTCTCCTCCTCCTCTTCAGTCTCAGTGTTGCCCTTACAGAACTCAGCAGGGAGGAAGATGGGGGCAAAACTTGAATTAGTTGGCTCTTCGAGTCATCAGCTCTGGTGCCACCTACTGTTAGCCTCCCTGCCTTCAGGGTCAGACTTTGGGCTCTCACATTTCAGCGGCGCCCTGTGCGACACTAAAATTCAGTGACCCCTGCCTCTTGCACTCTGTTCTACAGCATTGTTGTGGTGCCCAGTGCAGCTGCACCAGTCACTCTACCCTAAAACCACCTCTGCTGTCCTCCACCCTACTAGTCGCATTGGGCACCATCCACCACTGCTGCTAGGTGTGTGCTGGGGCTGCTGCTGATCTGCGGTTCAGCTTAGGCTTGGTACTGCGCCTGCTGCTGAGGGATGAGTGTGGAAGGTCAACTAGACCGTGGCAACTAGGCAGTGGCACCTGCAGCCTGGCTGAGAAGGGTCTTTTCCAGAGTGGGAGCTTCCAGGGGTCCTGCAGGATATGCCATACGTCCAACTTCCCCCTCCCCATATGTGCTAGAGCCAGAGGTAAGAACATTTCCAGACAGGTGGGTTGGGATCCCAGTCTACGCAGCTTTTGAATTGGAAGAAAACTTCATCCTTGTGTTTTCTGGGTTGTGTTCCTCAGGTGTAATTTTCTCTGATGGGGAACTTTGGAAAGCCACACGTCGATACACCTTGGCAAGCTTGCGGGATCTCGGGATGGGCAAAAAACGGATAGAAGGAAAGATTCAAGAAGAGCTGCAATTCCTGGCTGAGCTGATCGAGTCTTTTAAAGGTGATGCATTTTTTTTCACTTTTATTGCTCCTTTTCTATGCCTGCCATCTGGCAAGTGCCACTGTGTTTATTCTCCATTCTTTTCTTCTTCTTTTATGTTTTAAAGGTGAACCCTTTCCACTGAAGACATTAACTTTAGCTGCAACAAACATCGCCTATGGCATGGTGTTTGGAGACAGGTTTGACTATGCTGACGAGACTTTTCTCACTCTGTTAAAACACATTGATGAAGTGGTGGTCCAGCTGGGAGAACCACAGCTGCAGGTAGGCGATCATTCTTGCATCTTCCATTGCAAAAGTAATCCAGACTTGGCTGGTGGTTTTAGAAACTCCACATGCTGGCCAGTGGAAAAGGGTGCCGTGCCTTAGAAACTGGTTTGATGCAGTCTAGAATCCCGGAGATTTCTCAGGTACAGTGGTACCTCAGGTTAAGTACTTAATTCGTTCCGGAGGTCTGTACTTAACCTGAAACTGTTCTTAACCTGAAGCACCACTTTAGCTAATGGGGCCTCCTGCTGCCGCTGCACCACCAGAGCACGATTTCTGTTCTCATCCTGAAGCAAAGTTCTTAACCTGAGGTAATATTTCTGGGTTAGCGGAGTCTGTAGCGTATGTAACCTGAAGCGTATGTAACCCGAGGTACCACTGTGTACACTAATCATTTTGTAGCAGTAAAACCACAACCAAGTGTGCTTTGTAAACACACCACAGGCAAAGCAACAATGTGATGGGCACTTAGATATCAACAACTTTTATTATTATATATGTTGACATCATGCCTTTCCCCCAGACTGGGACTCAAGGTGGCTTACAACCAAATTAAAAGATCATCGGTAAAATACAAAAAGCTAATGACATTTAAAAGACCACCATTAAAAAGTAATGAAATTCAAATAGCATTAAAGCAAGCATGAATAAACTGCTTCTGGCGCATGGAACAATGTGATGAGTGCCAGTGTGCGTGCAAATGCTGTTTACCTTCCTGCCGCAGCGATACCTATTTATCTACTTGTGCTGGCGTACTTTCGAACTGCTAGGTTGGCAGGAGCTGGGAAAGAGCAACGGAGCTCACACTGTCACGGGGATTCGAACTGCCAACCTTACGATCGGCAAGCCCAAAACGCTTGGTGGTTTAGACCACAGTGCCCCCTGCAGAGCAGCTGTACGAAACTGGCTTTACTCTCCAAGTGGAAAACTGGAACTGTCCTTGAGTCAGGCTGGAAAGAAATGTTTTTATTTGAAGCCAAAATGAGTTTGGGCTCCCGTCATCTCTCTCTCCCCGCTCTCCTTACTGAGCGGGGGCCTAGCCTGTAGGTTCCCGCCAACCCATCTACAAACATCAGTTTGTCCTGGAAGTCTTCGCAGCCCTCCCACGCAGATCCTGTTGCACAGTGCGTAGCTGGTGTTTAAATTAAAACCACATGTAAACGGAGCGAAGCCTTTTTAGGCTGGGATTAAGCCACTGTTGCTCCACCCATCAATAACCTTTCAAGCCCCAAATCTGAAAGTCTTTGTGTAGGTTCTCCTCACCATTCCCCCCCCCCCACTTGCCCTGCCCTATGCCTCCCTTCAAGGGACACTAAAACGCTTCGGGTCACTGGGAAAGGGATGGAGGACAGAAGGCAAATCTGTGGTGCTAAGCTCACACTATCTCTCCAAAATGTCAGATTCCAATGAGGCATTCCCATAGCCTTTCAAACGATTCCCCTAATTCAGTCTCTATCGCATAGCATGCCACTTTCAGGAACGCCACCAAGATGACTCAAAGGCCCCTTGCACAAACCCAACGGGAAGAAATGGGAGTTGTGCAAGAGCACCCTATCTGCAACAGAATTACTGTCACATCTTTCTTGCATGCAATCTTTACTTGACTTTTCATTTACTTCTCTTTTTGGGTTCTTCTCTAGGTATATAATGTCTACCCATTCCTTGGATTCCTTTTAAAACCCCACAAGATGATCTTGGAAACAATGGAAAAGACCCGTGTCATTCTGAGGGAATACCTTGCAGCAGGCAAGAAGAGTATCAATGAGAACCTCTTACAAAACTACTACGACTATATGCTAACCAAGCAACAGTCAGAGGTATATCTATCTATCTATCTATCTATCTATCTATCTATCATCTATCTAGATATAAGGCCAACTTTTCCAGTGCTTATTTGGCGCTTGGTGGGGTGTTGGTGTGTATCTGCATGTCTGTTCCCCAGTAAGTTATGTGCAGAGGATAAATCATGTCCCTAAACAGTGCATTAGCTGAGTTTGAAAGTGGTACAAAATTCAGGGAAAGGGACAGAAGTGGGCAATCTCAACCATGATGCTGAGTAAGTCTCAGAACAGCCTGCCAAGGTTAGCCGGTGGGCCAATGAGAGAATGGCTAGAGTGACAAATGAGAAATTGTTTATTTGCTTGTTGAGAAGATTCAGTATTTATTTTCCCAGGGCAGTTGTTGGTCAAGGAAACATATTAGCAGCAAATTCATCAGCTAAGATGACCACCCTAGTGGTCCCGGGCCCTAAGGAAGTTAGATTAGCCTCAACCAGAGCCAGGGCCTTTTCAACTCTGGCTCCGGCCTGGTGGAACGCTCTGTCTCATGAGACCAGGGCCCTGCGGGATCTGATTTCTTTCCGCAGGGCCGGTAAGACAGAGTTGTTCCGCCTGGCCTTTGGCTTGGAGCCAATTTGATTCCCTCCCCCCCTTTCTTTTTCCTTTTTCCTTTCTCCTCCTGTGATGAGGCTGCATTTTAACATTTTAATGTTTCAATATTTTAATGTTGTATTTTAATCTTGTTTTTAAGTTGTATTCATTCAACTTGTTTTTATTATTGCTTGTTAGCCGCCCTGAGCCCGGCCTTGGCTGGGGAGGGCGGGGTATAAATAAAAATTATTATTATTATTATAAGATAACCTTTTGGCTTATTTTCCATTCCTTGCCTTGAGAAGCAGATTTTGCCATTCTGTGGTTCATCGGTTCTGCTGTTTTACTGTGTTGTGATATTGTTGCACATCACCCCAATGTCTGAACATTGCAAGTTTCCAGGGGTTCCAGGCACACTTACCCAGGGTTCGTGTTTCCTTCTGGCAGTGAGGCATCTTTTTCTGTCTCATTCATATCATAGCAACCCCAATTCTCTCTAAACTCTGGCTGTATATGTTGAGGGAGAGAGGGGCCCCTTCTGTTTGCCATCTTAGACAGAGTCCCTGGATCCTTTGTTCTTCCTAATGGCTCATTACCCAGGGTATCACCTCATGAGGAAGTTAACCTGGCTTAATTAGCTCTTAACACTTGGCTTAATTAAAGGATTAGAAGTGTCTAGCACACAGCTTAATGCACACTGGCTTAATCTATACGGGTCTGGCACCTAGTCTTAACATCAAGCCCTGATGAAATTCTAACTCCTGCTAGACCCAGAAATTTAGGGTGTCTAACACCCACAAACTCATAACAGTATTTTCCTGTTAGCTACTTTGAGCTTTGTGTCCTGGCTCTAACCCTGGATGAAAAACTCAAGCTTGGAGCATGGTTCGTTCCATAATATTTAATAATAATAATAATAATAATAATAATAATAATAATAATATAATAATAATAATAATTTATTTATACCCCACCCATCTGCCTGGGCTTCCCCAGCCACTCTGGGCGGCTTCCAAAAAAATATTAAAATACTATAATACATCAAACATTAAAAGCTTCCCTAAACAGGGCTGCTTCAGCATGATATGTAGGCAAAGTAAGATTCAAGGCAAGTGCTGTGCATGGCTAATAATAATAATAATGATAATAATAATTTAATTTATACCCCACCTATCTGGGCGGTTTACAGCATATCTAAAAACATAAAACATCAAGCATTAAAAACCTCCCGATACCAGGCTGCCTTCAGATGTCTTCTAAAAGTTGTGCAATTCTTTATCTCCTTGACATCTGAAAGGAGGGCATTCCACAGGGAGGGCGCCACTACCGAGAAGGCTAAGCAAGCTTGATCCAACAAACAAACATGCCTCCTGTTATATGGGAATGGAGCAGGCACAACTTCAGCGCAGCAGCAGCTGGCACCAAAGCCGGCATGTGACTCAGGGGCAGCGCAGCCAGGGAGATGGAGGAAGGAACACAGCAGAGCACTGAGAGACTGCACTGCTGAGACCCTCCCCAGGAACTGATTCCTTGTCTGTAACGTAATGAAGGAGCAGGCCCGCACCTTTGTTATATATCTTTAGGTGCCAGGCAAAACATTTCTCTTCAACCAGGAATTTGACTGATTAACATTCTGTGGCTTTTTAAATGTGTTGGTGTATATGTGTGTGTGTTATTTGTTTGTTTTTGTTTTATTATGTTCTCATTTTGTATTTTTCTGCTGGAAACCGCCCAGGGATCTTTGGATTAAGGGTAGTATACAAATTTCTTGCTGTTTTTGTTTTGCTTTGTTTTGTTTTGTTTAAATATAAATAAACCACAACATTTGTACCTTGCTCTTCTTACTCCAAGGAAAGGACCAAAGACAGGAACTTGTTCCATGACACCAACATTGTGGCAGCAGTCTTTGACCTGGTCCTAGCTGGGACAGAGACCACAGGCACCACATTGCAGTGGGCTATCCTGCTGATGATGAAATACCCCGATATTCAACGTAAGCCATACTTTTGTGTTTCAAAGTTGGACAGCGTTGCATTCTGATTTTTACTATGAACCAGCCAAACTCTCGTCGCCGTGACAAAGATGCACTGGGAGGGATGAATAAAAGGAGAGGTCCTATTGTGGATCGCGGTTTGAGTAGATCACAGGAAGCAAAGAGTAGGAATAAATGGGAAGATGTGGAAAGTGGAGTCCCCCAAGGATCAGTATTGGGACCTGTGGTTTTTAACTTGTTCATGAACTATCTAGAGCAGGGGTCAGCAGCCTAAGGCCCATGGGCCACAAATGGCCCATGGGGGTCGTTTAACCGACCCATGGACCCCTGCTGCCCACTCCTGCAGCCAATGGGAAGCTCCTGCAGCCAATGGGAAGCTGCGCATGCCTCCTCCGCGCCAGAAGGAGCACCGGAAATAGCGTTCGCTCGCGCACACACACACAGAGTCTCTGGCGCACCGGGGCGTCTGTGGGACCATGAACCGGCCCAAGCCACAAAAACTTTGCTGACCCCTGATCTAGAGTTAGAGGGGATCTGTGAGGTGGCCAAGTTTGCTGACGATACTAAATTGTTTTTGTTTTTTTGGATTACAAAGATGGTTTATTCAGCCATTGTGTTGTGTCTAAGAGGTCATATATATATATATATATATATATATATATATATATTCAAATACAAAACAAAATTATACACTCCATACATCTTAGTTACATCTTATTTCTCTTTTTTCGACTTCCCTCAACTTGTCTGCAAATCCTTCATATTTTAACTTTAAACACATTTCTATTTTATTGTTTATATTATTACTGTAAACTTCATCCCCTTTTAATACTTATTTCCCATCACAATGCTTCATTAAAACTTACAAACGTAATCTGATTATCACTTAATTTTTGCAAATATTCAATAAATTTTTCCCAATCTTCTGTGAATCTTTGATCTTGTCAGTTTCTGATCCTTCCTGTCATTCTGTCCAATTCTGCGTAGTCTATCATTTTTGTTCTCCATTCTTCTAATGTAGGTAGCTCCTCTTGTTTCCATTTCTGGGCCATCAATATTCTTGCTGCTGTCACTGCATATAAAAATAACTTCTTTTCTTTCTTGTTTATCTCATTACCTGTAATGCCTAATAAAAATGTTTCTGGTTTCTTAGCAAATGTATATTTCAACATTTTCTTCAATTCATTATAAATCATTTCCCAAAAGCTTTTTACTTTCTTACATTCCCACCACATATGATAAAAAGTACCTTCTTTTTCTTTACATTTCCAACATTTGTTACTTGTCTTGTACATTTTTGCTAATTTTACCGGAGTTACATACCATCGATACATCATTTTCATCACATTTTCTTTTATAGTTGTACATGCAGTGAATCTTAAACCTTCTTTCCATAATTTTTCCCAATCTTCCATTTGTATATTGTGTCCTAAGTCTTTGGCCCAATCAATCATAACTGATTTTACCTCTTCATCCTTTGTACACCATTCTAACAGTATCTTATACATTTTTGCTAGAATTTTAAAATCATTATTCAATATTTCTGTTTGAAATTTTGATTCTTTATCTGCAAAACCCCTTTGGTTCAAGTCTTTTTTAAACATTTCATTAATCTGAAAAAAATGCAACCAATCATTAACATATTCCTTAACTTCTTCAAATGGTCTCATTTTCCATTTACCTTCTCTTTTACTTATTAGCTTCTCATATGTCACCCATCCCCCAGTCATATTGACTTTCTTCACACTCATCGCCTCCAATAGCGATAACCAATATGGAGTTTTTTGTTCCAACAGGTTTTTATATCTTTCCCACACTTCAATCAGAGACCTTCTTATGATGTGGTTTTCAAATCCTTTATGTACACGTTTCTTGTCATACCACAAATACGCATGCCACCCAATCTATTATCAAAACCTTCCAGCTCTAACTAATCAGTATCTTCTAATTTCATCCATTCCTTCAACCAACAGAGGCAGGATGCTTCATAGTACAATTTCAAATCTGGCAGGGCGAAGCCTCCTCTTGCTTTCACATCTGTCAATATCTTAAATTTTATCCTCGGCTTCTTACCCTGCCAGATATACCTTGAAATTTCTATTTGCCAATTTTTTAAAATTGCTGCCCCTTTGATTACTGGAACCGTTTGAAATAAGAATAACATCTTCGGTAGCACATTCATTTTAATTGTTGCAATCCTTCCCCAAAATGACAATTTCATTCTTCCCCACACCTCTAGGTCCCTTTTGATCTTATTCCAAGTTGGAACATAATTATTCTGAAACAAATCAATACTCCTGGGGGTTAACCATACTCCTAAGTATTTAACTTTCTTGACTACTTCTATCTCTGTTTGTTGCTGTAGTCTATTAATTGCCTCTTGATCTATATTTTTGGTGATTGCTTTAGTTTTTTTCTTGTTCAAAATAAATCCTGCCAGCTGACCAAACTGATCAATTTCTTTCAACACTTCTGTTACCCTATTCATGGGGTCTTCCAAAGTTAATACTAAATCATCTGCAAGAGCTTTAACCTTATATTCTTTTCGACCCACCGTTACCCCTTTTATTTGATCATTACTTCTAATTGCCCTTAAAAAGACTTCCAGGACCGCGATAAATAACAATGGTGATAGAGGACAACCTTGTCTTGTACCCTTAGTTATTTTTATGTTTTCTGTCATCACATTATTAACTATTAATTTAGCTTTTTGATCCATATATATTGCCTTAATACCATTTAAAAACATTTGTCCCATCTCCATCATTTCAAAGTTTTTTAACATAAAATCCCAAGAAATATTATCAAAGGCCGACGATACTAAATTGTTGAGGGTCATTAAACCAAAAAGAAATTGCGAAGAGCTCCAAGGGGGCCTCTCCAAACTATGTGAATGAGTGATAAAGCAGCCATTGCAAGTATAAAAGCCTGCGTTAAGTTGTTGCATTCATACCTGGTTCCACCTCTTTTTTTATAATAACTGTCAGAGAACTCCCATTTCAGGGCAGGCACGAGAGGAAATTGAAAGGGTCATTGGGCTGGAACGCCTGCCCACCTCTGAAGACAGGAAGCAGCTGCCCTTCAACAACGCCATAGTCCACGAGGTGCAGAGGTTTGCCAGTATCCTGCAGCAGTTGCCCCGCTGCACCGCTGTGGACACTTGCTTCCGCGGCTACTTCATTCCCAAGGTAGGAAGCTTGCCCTGCCGGCACGGCCAAGTGGGCAAGGTAGGCTGGGAGTGCACCATGTCTGAAAGAGGACATCTGGCGTCAAAGCTGACCTCCGAGGCTGCGTTCAGGCAGCACGTTCCTCTTTCCTGATCTTCCCTGACCTGCCAATTTCCATGTTTCATGTGATCATTCACACAATGTAAAGTGGGGTCTAGCAGAAGCTTAGCACTAATTACCACAATAATGGTGTCCAGGGAAAAAATCCCGTTGCAACCCGATTAGCTCAGAAAATCGTGAGGTGTGCTTGTTTGTGTTGGAATCTCACGTAATTGGAATTTCCCGACATTTAAGCTTTAGTGCAGCATGGTAGTATATCAGTCAAAAAGGCCCAGTTCTGTAACGCAGCAGGAACTGCAGAGTAAAAGGGTTGTTAGAACTCGGCACAGAAGCGCTAGCATTATAACCCAGAAAACAAATGCAATAAACTGCATGTCTGAATGCAGGCTGAAAAAGGAAGTTGTCTAAGGCCTTCCCTGTGTTCCTGCTGTGACTTTTCCTTCCTTGAGAACTTGAGAGGCAATGTGGAGTAGTGGTTAGAGTGTCAGGATAAAACCTGGGAGACTAGAGTTCAAATCCTCACTTGGCCTTGAAGATCAATAAGAGGCTTTGAGGCAGTCATTATTTCTCAGCTGAAGCTCCCTCGCAGGGTTGTTGCGAGGATAAAACAGAGACAACCAGGTATGCCACCTTGAGCTGTTTGGCAGAATGGTGGGATTATAAATGATTAATAATAATAATAATAATAATAATAATAATAAAGCTGTGGGCAATGGAATGCCTTCCCTCCGATTCCCCCCCCCCATTTAACAATGTAAACTCTGCTTGCCTCCCAGGGCACACCCGTGATCCCCTCTATCACCTCTGTGCTGTATGACAAGACCCAGTGGGAAACCCCCACCCAGTTTAACCCCAACCACTTTCTGGATGCCGAGGGGAACTTTGTGAAGAAGGATGCCTTCCTGCCCTTCACTATAGGTAACACAAATTCTTCCTGCAGGCAACATGGTGCTTGATGACGACCACCCTATCTTCCAAGGGTATAGCTATGCTCTGCCTCCACTGTCAGAGGCCTTGTGTCTCTGACTACCCATTGCTGGGAATCGCAGGTGGGCAGAGCGCTGTTGCGCTCCTATCCAGATCGCAGGCTTCCCACTGGGGCATCTGGTTGGCTGCTGCAAGAACAGGATGCTGGACCAGATGGGCCATGGGCTCGTGTTCTTACACAACAGGCAGATTCCCCTCCACTGAGTCAGTTCTTGGAAGTTCTAGGCATGAGACATGGAGACCACCTGGGAGTGCCGTGTATGTGACCTGGCTTTATTATGAACATGAGAAGAGACCATAGGGAGAGATCAGCTTCTTGCGGCCCCAGACACAGCCCTTGAGGACCAACAGGACCACAGCTAGCTAGGAGAGCAAGTGGCTGATTTGGTCTGAGTGGCTGAACCTCAGAAAGCTCCAAGGATGGCAGTGGTGTTGACCTGCACTCATATCCTCCCCTGGGCCGGGCTATCCACCCAGAGCTCTGTCCCCTCTTGTCAAGGTCTTTAAAGGGGCAGTCTGCACACCTGCAGCTTTGGGCCGCATCGCCACTCTGCCAAGGGTACCTGTGTGCGTTGCCAGGCAGGGATGGAGAACAAGAGTCTCTCAGTGGTTCTTCTGAAGGTTCCCTGCCAGGGGTGACTGGCTTGGAGCTGGAGGCTGCTAGGTCCTGCCTCAGTGTCAGAGTCTGTGCCACTTCCCACATCACAGCCCCTCTTGGCTCCCCAGGACTTAGGGCATCTTCTTATTATCAGTGCTCCAGTCACTGGGTCCCAGCGACACTCCCTTGGAGTATTAAGACAGGGCATGCACTCACCAAATAATTGATAATGTTGTGCTCAACCGTAGTCTCCTAGGGTTCAGTTTCCTGGAAACTAAAGTCCATGGAGACTGTGGTGTCTTTAGGACGTATGGTTTTGTTTACACGTATCTGTAACCTGAGCAATGGATGAAGGGTCTTGCAGCATTAACACACCAGCTGGTCTTGCCTCCCCCTTAGGGGTCCAGGGGATTCCCCCAACTCGGGTTTGGATTCAGCACAGAGCAAGATGTGCCTCTGTTTCTTTGGCTTCCAGCATCAGCCCAAGTCACACACACAACTCTCCCATACACAGCACCTCCCCTGCCTTGGCCTTGTCGTTCTCCATCCTTGGATGAGAGTGCCATCCAGCCAGGTGAGGTGGGAAAAGCTCCACTCATTTGTCTCTATGACAACCTCTTGTGAATGGACATGTGAGTGGTGGCACTTAACTGGCCGACTAAGACCACTACAGTAACAAAGCAACCAGGTTGGCTGATTGACCAGGTTCCTTCCCAAGTTTGGAACTGACCCATGGGTATCATCCGGACTACCACTGCCCCACCCCGCAAAAGAACTTACAAAAATAATATTGCAAACTGATGGACTCTTGCTTCTATTTGCCGTTTTCATTGAAAGTCCAAACCACTGGTTTGTTGCAGGCCGTAGGAATTGTCCCGGAGAAAGCCTGGCCTTGATGGAGATCTTCTTGTTCTTTGTTGGGTTGCTCCAAAGGTTTACGTTTTGTCCTCCTCCTGGAAAGACTGTTTCAGATTTGGACCTCACCGCCGAAGTCACCTTCACACTGAGGCCCCAAGCTTACTCTACCTGTGCTGTGCACTAAAAGGAGAACAGCTTGTCCCAGTGGAAGTGTTCTTTTGTCTCATTTGCCCAGGTGAATGTTCAGAATGTGGGAGATTACAATATGCACACCTGCTAGTTAGTGCTTACTAACTTACAGCACATGCTTGGAATTGTATTCTGTACTTTCTGTCCAAGAGTGTTCTGCTTATGCTTTCCCCCGCAGCTGCGTGGAACAACACATGTATCAGGCCTATGAATATGTAAGTAAAACATTCTAAACTTGCTTTAAAAAAAAATCTTTATTGAAAGTTCAAAAAGTACATAATTATATGTGCACTAAACACACTGAGACGTAAATAAAAGAGAGAAAAAGAGAAACAGAACCCATGTAGAAGGGAAAATGAAGGGGGGAGGGGAAAACCCAAAACTGTGTACTTTATAAGGTTGTTAATGTACTTCACCAGATCTTAACCTATTATAATATTTGTAAGAATGGATTCTAAATATCATTGAATTTCTCCATAGCAAGTCTGCATTTATATGCAAGTTGTTCATATGTTGAGAGTTTGTATAAGTCTTCAATCCAATTGTAGAAGGGAGCTGCATTTTCATTTTCCCAGTTCATCAGGATCAGTCTTTTTGTTGTGGTAAGGGCACGGAGAGACCACTCATATTGTCCTTTTGTAAGGTTCCATGTGCTAGGTATATCATTCAAGAGGATATTTTGCTCTGTAAATGTTAGGTTGTTTCATACAGATCTGTTAATAGTTTTAGTTACCTTCTGCTTGGAATTATATTCTGTACTTTATATCCAAGAGTGTTCTGCTTGTGCTTTTCCTTGCCGCTGCATGAAACAACACACGATGCCTTATGAGGAACGGCTAAGGGAGCTGGGCATGTTTAGCCTGGAGAAGAGGAGGTTAAGGGGTGATATGATAGCCATGTTCAAATATATAAAAGGATGTCACATAGAGGAGGGAGAAAGGTTGTTTTCTGCTGCTCCAGAGAAGCGGACACGGAGCAATGGATCCAAACTACAAGAAAGAAGATTCCACCTAAACATTAGGAAGAACTTCCGGACAGTAAGAGCTGTTTGACAGTGGAATTTGCTGCCAAGGAGTGTGGTGGAGTCTCCTTCTTTGGAGGTCTTTAAGCAGAGGCTTGACAACCATATGTCAGGAGTGCTCTGATGGTGTTTCCTGCTTGGCAGGGGGTTGGACTCGATGGCCCTTGTGGTCTCTTCCAACTCTATGATTCTCTGATTCTATGATTCTATGTATCAGGCATATGAATATGTAAGTAAAGCATTCTAAACTTGCTTAGTAGTGTGTGGTTTGTTCCTTGAAAAAGGGATAGAAAGAAGAGAACATTGTAAATGGGATAAGAAGGGTCAAACAAACTATATCCCTAATGCTTCACAGTGCTGCTTAACTTTTGTGAGTTTAATATTTTTCCTACTGGGGGCTCTCTTGTGTGCAGGCCTTTTGTTTCGAATCCAGGCACATAGCTGATTCTTTAGTTGTTCACCCACACAGTGGGTCCACAGGGATTAATAAATTTCTTTCCTGACACAGAAGTCATTATCCTGAGACAATAACCCTTGTCTGTACAGAGAGGGGATTCTTGGAATTGGTGCTTCAGAAACATACCGGCTCTCTTGGATTATCTACAGGTCACAGCTTTCTTTTCCTTTATGGAGTGATGAACTCCAACCAACAGAGGGGACATCCATCCTTTGTTCCTCGTGCCCAGAGCCTTCCTGCCCACCTCCTGTTCTCTTCAAACTCCTGCTCTAAGTCTCCTTTTCTGTGCAGCCTTCAACCTAACCTCCGAGGGTTATTTCCCGTTGATGCTGAAACTGCACCTGCACTCCACCATTTCAGGCTGCTACATCACTCTTTGTAACTGGTGGTCCTCAGGGCTGGACCTGAGACCTGCATGCCAGGGACCTTCTGCCTTGCCTGGGGAAAGTGAGAAAAGGGCTGTGTGGGCACACTATACAGTGGACGCTCGGGTTGCGAACATGATCCGTGTGGGAGGCACATTCACAACCTGCAGCATTCGCAACCCGCAGCGTTGCGTCTGCGCACATGCGGGTTGTGATTCGGCGCTTCTGTGCGTGCGCAAAGTGTGATTTAGTGTTTATGCACATGCACAAGCACCAAAACCCGGAAGTAACCTGTTCTGGTACTTCTGGGTTCGGCACAGTGCGCAACCCAAAAACGTGCAACCCAAAGCATCTGTAACACAAGGTATGACTGTACATGGAAACCACATTCCTTTTTTTTAAATTAACATATAGAACGCATACATTTACATTTACACAATACATATACCCAACATACTATCTTATTTTCATAGCATAAAACATACCTACATTACTCTATATAATACCTACCTATACTATACATATCAGCATACCTACACACCTACCCCACATGGACACCCACCGAGTGACTTGACTTCCAGCCGTTCTTGTTTTTATTTATTTTGTTTTTCCAGTTAGCTTAAATGCATTTCATTAATTTCTTTAATCTCTTCTATCTTAATTTTACTCTCCTTTCACTCTAATCATTTTCTGGATTCACTCAATATCTGTCAAAGGTTCTACTTTTTCCACATAGATTTTGATGTATTCCTTAAAGATAGCACACTCCTTATTCACTTTTTGTACCATATCTCCTCTTATCCTCCCTGTTAATTCGGCAATATAAAAGTATTCCATCGTTTTAGATAGCCAGTCTGTTTTAGTTGGGACGCTGCTGCTTTTCCAATTTTTGTCAATTAATAACCTTTCCGCCATAGTCACATACATAAATATTGGTCTGACTGTTTATTTATTTCCTCTCACATGATATCTAGGAGAAAGAATTCTGGGTTTTTTCCAAATGAAAATTAATTGTATTGATTGTTATTGTTTTATGGATTGTTTTACCACATTCCTGGCACATTCTTCCCCTCAAAGAATCCCAGGCCCTGTAGTTTACCATGCTCAGAGTTACGATACCCAGCAATCCTCAATGAACTGCAGTTCCCAGAATCCTTTTGAGAGCGGAAAGTGCACTGAATGTGCTTTAAATATATAGTGTGTGCACAGCCTTAAGGGTCCACAGATATCAGTTTGGATTAGGAGTGGGGCCTTGTCAGAAAATCTGAAGCATCTACACTGGCTGCGCATCTGCTATTGAACTAGATTCAAAGTCCTTGCATTAATTTACAAAGCTCTGAACAGCTTAAGTCCAGGCTACCTTAGTGATCACTTGAACCCTTACATCTCAGCTCGATCACAGAGGACATCTGCAGGAGCATCTCCTTTCCTTCCCCAAGTTGGTGAGGCTCAATTGACCACAAAGAGAAACTGAACCAATTGTGTCATCGGTCCAGTCTGGTGGAACTCCTTGCCAATAGAGATTCAGCGGGCACCTTCTGTGCCAACTTTTAATACATCTTTCCATAACAGTTAGCTGATTTGTAAATGTGGCTTTTTATCCAGTTTTTATTGTATGGTTTCATGTATAATTGTTGTAAACTGCTCCATATTTTCTTAAATGAATAGTGGAATACAGTCATACCTCGGGTTACAGCCACTTCAGGTTGTGTTTTTTCGGGTTAGGAACCGCCAAAACCCGGAAGCACTGGAACGGGTTACTTCCGGGTTTCGGCAGTCGCTCATGCGCAGAAGTGCCGAATCACAACCTGCACGTGCGCAAACACGCCGCTTCGGGTTGTGAACGCTGCGGGTTGTGAACATGCATCCAGCACAGATAACGTTCGCAACCCGAGCGTCCACTGTACAAAAATTTTCATAACTAAATAAGATCCGAAGTTTCCAAGAGGAGACATCTGCAGGAGGGTTTTATAATATTGTTTTATGCAATGGTTTTAATCATTCAAGACACGCACACGGTACTTGCATTTTAAGTACACATTTAATTTTTTCTGTGCAAAGCACTGTATACCCTTTATGTTTGTGCATGCACTGTGGTGACTGTATGTCATTTATTGCATGACCATAATCTGTAACATCATAACATTGGGGGTGGGGGGGAAATAGACAGTCCTTGCTGGTCCTTTCCAACCCTACCACTCTGATTATAAATGTTCCTGCCACAATCTTCTTTGTTTATCTGGTGCTTCCTTGCCTGTTTCACTCTGCTGCCACCTCGTGCCCACCTTAGGTTACAGCCATCCAGTTCCCTGTCTACTCTCTGCTTCCACCTATTGACTTATTCATTCAACAGGAGCTAATTTCTCCCAAATGGTTTGCTGTAAAAAAGGGGAGATCATGGATAGAAGCAAGCCAGCCAGCAAGCAGGAACATACCGCTGCAAAATGCAAGTTATCATGCATGAGTGCGTCACCAGATCAGAGGCTTCCTTCCTGCAGAAAGATTCGATCCTCATATTAAACAGCTTCATATTCCTGTATTCCAGGGGGTTGGACTAGATGATCCTCAGAGGCCTCCACGTTGGGTGTCTAGGCTCCCAGCTGGATTCCCCCAACCCGGCTCCCATCACTCCCAGGGAAAGATGACAGCTTCAGATCCACAGGCAAAGGACTCAGCTTGCCCCATCATATGGGTTTACTGGGAGGAAAAGGATGTCCATGTAAACGTCTGCCTAGAACAGGGCCTGCAAGTCACGCACGTCTCAGCTGAGGATTACTTGGAGGCCCTGCCATTGCACTAGACCTTGGATCAGGCTTGATCTGGGGCTGAGGAGGCAGGAACCTCGGATGAGACTGAGTAGGGGGCCATCTCTGACCTCAAGTGTGGAGCAAGTGGACGTGCTTTGGATAAAACAGCCTCACAGTCCTAATGAGGACCCTGCCAGACTTAATTAGGTCCACGGGTGGGAGAGGCTCCCCACCACCGACCTACTGCAAGCCACTGAGACATCTCCCAGTATATCCCAGTCTACCTTCTGTTTGGTCCTGCTTCGTGAGTCTCAAAGACCAGCAATGAACTCAGGCTCGGGTCCCCAGTCCCTTGTCTCGTTAGCCCAAACAGAGGAAGCATCTTTTGTCACAAAGATGCGAGACTTGCTGGAACCTCACATGCAAATGCACGACTCTGCAAGATGCAGAACAGGCTAGTCCTGCTGCTCTCCGCTGCCATTTCGTTCCCTTCTCTCAGGTTGCTACAAGGCACCTGCAATGTGTCCTTTCGCCATCAGCCATTGTGCACAGAAGGGTGTGTTTTAATACGGCTGGTGGTGGCAGCAGCCCTATAGCAAAAGTCTGGCTGCAGAGGCCAAGTCTTAGCTCAGCAGCTTTTAGCATCGCTCGGGCATGTGATGCTTAAATGAGAATGATTCATGGCCCTGTGAGTTCATTGGGAGTAGCTTGTGTGCCCTAGGGTGTCTCTGCCACCTTTCCCCCAGTGCTCAAGTGGTTGCAAAGCACCATTCACCTGAGGGATGCAGCTGTTTTGCATTTTATTTAATTGCAAGTGCTTATTCTGCAGCCTTCAAATGCTCCCTCCTCCACAAAGAACCCCCCCTCCCCCCCCAAAAAAATTGGAGACAGTCTCTGAAAATTTTGCATGCCTGTTCTTACATTTTCTCAAAACATATTTTACCTGTTCCAGCTTCAGGTTGCTCCCAATATTAGCCACCTTAGGTGCAAAATCCCTGGGGACCTGGTTGCTTGCGCACACACAAAATTCCCCATGAAGGGGCCAGGCACCCACAAATTTGGGTGCCAGGGCCATGCATACTGCATGGCACCACGGCTCCGGGCACCCACGGTTGCTGGGCCATGCTGGCACTAGGGCAAAAGAGTGCTGTGCAGAGTTTTTTTAAATGACAGACACCTGGAACTGCATTGGCTGAATTATATCCCTGCCAGCAAGCATCTCATCTGATAATAAAATTTTGCATAAAGAGAAGCTGCAACATCTCTTGGTTTAGGGGTGCCTTCAGAACAAATGTGCCTTCCTCTGGACCCTGTGCATTAATGCACATGTGGCACCCGGTCTTTGTTCTTTAAAAAAAGGTAGTCAGAAAGCTCACCTGAAGTGTAGGGGTAAGAGGACGCAACACCGATAACTGATCTGGGATTTGACGTGATGGGCGGTATGTCTGTTGTGTAAACTGCAAATCTGGGACAAAGTAGGGCTCCTGCTTTAGGGAAAAAGCTCAGGTTTGAGGGTGAAATGTGGCCCTCCAGGCATCTCTCTGGCCCTCAGGACTGCCCCCTGGGCTCACCCCCTGCTCAGCCACATCTTCTCTTGCCTGGAATTGGTCCTTAAACTCTAATCGTGCTTCTTGCTTGGAAGACTGAGAAGGGCGTCTGTGGAAAACAGCATACTATATACATTTGTTGCTTTGCTCGCTTTTGCCTGTGGCCCCCGGAAGGCGGCACAGAAGGGAAGGTGGCCCTCAAGCTGAGAAATGTCCCTCACCCCTGCTGTAGGTGGGAAAAACTCCAGTTGATTTCTCTTTACATATGCCAGTCTTCTGCTTGTAACAGAATCCAATTACTTGACAGTTTGTTTGCTTATTGCATGTACATTTCACCTTTTCCTCCAAGAACCTCAAGGTGGCGTACGTGATTCTCCCCTCCCTCATTTAATCTCCACAACAGCCCTTTGAGGTAGGTTAGGCTGAGAGGCAGTGACTGGCCTATGTTCACACAGAGAGCTTTACAGCTGGGTGGGGATTTGAACTCTGGTCTCTCCCAGGTCCCAATCCGATGCTCTAATGCAGTGTTTCTCAAACTTAAGTCTCCAGTTGTTGGACTACAACTCCCATAATCCCTGACCACTGATCCTGCTAGCTAGGAATGATGGGATTTGTAGTCCAACAACAGCCAGAGACCCAAGTTTGAGAAACACTGCTCTACCCACCCCACCACATTGGCTTTCATATTTTTCACGACCGCCTGGCTGGGCGAACAGAGGTTTCCAGAGCAGCAAAATGTCACTAAGGCCTCTCCCTTTCCTGCTTTGCATATGGATCTCTGCAACCCCTCCTGCTTCTTGTGACTCGCACGGCAAGAAGAGGTAGATAACCTTTCCCACCCTGTGATTGACGTAAGTTAGACGGGAGCTGCAAATTCAGCGATAACATGATTTCTCGAGAAACTGCCGCCTGTGGCTACTGGCATCAAAGATGCACCATTTCCAAACAGCAGGGGGTTAATGATAATCGAACAGAGTCAAAAGTCCATTTCCTGCCTGTACAACAATTAGTCTGAGCTTTGAATGAGTGCATTCCGGCCTCCCAAAGCTTCTTGGAGGAATGGTGGAATATGCATGTGAAGAATAACTTGTTTGCATATAACTATTATGTCAGGGATTCTTTAGCTATGATGTCTGCATTTGCAGAGGGTTGGACTAGAAGACCCCTAGGGTCCCTTCCAATTCTACAGTTCTATGAGTAGTAATAGTAATAATAATAATAATAATAATAATAATAATAATTTATTTATTTATTTATATCCCGCCCTCCCCAGCCGAAGCCGGGCTCAGAGCAGCTAACAACAATAAAAGTAACACAGCATTCTAAAATCAATTCATTTTAAAATCAATTCAGAATCAAATTAATGGCAACCATTGGGCTAGAGTTCTGTGAGGATTACCAAAGGAGGGGGTCAGACCGTGCCTTGGCCAAAGGCCTGGTGGAACAGCTCTGTCTTGCAGGCCCTGCGGAAAGATGTCAAGTCCTGCAGGGCCCTAGTCTCTTGTGACAGAGAGTTCCACCAGATCGGGGCCACAATTGCTGGCAAAGAAGGGCAGAGGTGTTTGTATGTGTATATTCTCAAGCAGGCACTGCTTTAAAGATGCAGACGTTCAGACAGTGGAAGGGAACTATCGTCTTGTTTCATTATTACTCTTATTATTTACTTTGTATTTTTATGCCACAAACAGCCCTGAGATCTTTGGATGAAGGGCAGTGTACAAATTTAGTAAACAAGACAAAACTGAAGCTATTCAGATGTATGTATGTTCGTTTATTACATTTTATATACAACGCTCCCCCCCAAAACAGCTCAGGCTCTCCTTCTCTTCTGTTTGGTCCTCACAACAGCCCTGTGAGGTAGGTTACCCTGAGAGGCAGTGACTGGTCCCCAAAGTCGCCCCGTGAGCTTCATGGCTGAGGGGGGGTGGCGTTTGGACCCTGGTCTCAAAGGTCCCAGTCTGACGACACTCTAACCATGACACAACACACTGGTTGTTGTTGGACTCAAACTCCCGTCCTCCCTGATCATGAATCAGGCTGGCTGAAGCTGATGGGAGTTGGGATCACCTAGCAACATTGGGGCGGGGGGGCTCAAGAACTCCACAACCCACCCATGAATGAATGAATGAATGAATGAATGAAGAGCTGCTCAATTAACGTCAAACTCACCCAATGCCACATCACCTCCATGCTGTCTGACCTTTGCCACAGACAGCTGCTGGTGCAAATATTCATGGCAGATCAGTGAGTCGATGTCCCAACACTTTATTTTTTTAAATATTACCTGGATTCTCTCTCTCACCTCATTAATTTATTGGGTTTGGGAACCCCCATGTTCATAACCCTGTTTTGCACCACAGGTCCATCACCCTTCCCCGTTGGTCATGCTGGCAGGGGCTGAAGGAATTATAGAGTCTTAAGAGTTGGAAGGGACCCTGTGGATCATCTAGTCCAGGCTTCCTCAACCTCGACCCTCCAGATGTTTTTGGCCTACAACTCCCATGATCCCTAGCTAGCAGGACCAGTGGTCAGGGATGATGGGAATTGTAGTCTCAAACATCTGGAGGGCCGAGGTTGAGGAACATAATAATTTATCAAAAACATATTATCCTCATTCCCACCCCCTAATTTCCCCTCCTCCCTCCCCAAGAAAAACTCACCCTCCCACCCTCACCGGACTTCCCTCAGCTCCTCTCTCTGGTTCTTCAACACATGTTGTTCTCTGCATATTATAAAATTGTAAAGATCCTTAAATTATCTGTCTGTATGTTGCCAGTGATAAATTTGTGATTGTTTATTCAAAACCTGCCAAGGAGTCCAAGTCCAGTTTCTTTAAATACTTTGTAAAAGGTTCCCATTCTTCTTTAAAGTCACAGTTGTCCTTATCACGCAATTTGTGCATCAGTTTCGCCAGTTCCACATAGTCCATCAGTTTCCCTTGCCACAGTTCTTTTGTCAGGGTTTCTTCGTTCTTCCGTCCTTGTGCTATTAGGACTCTTACCGCCATTGTCGCATACATGAATATGTTCTTCAATTTCCTTGGCAGGTCTTTTCCTACAATCCCTAACAAAAATGCTTCAGGCTTTTTTACAAATGTTAATTGGAACATTTTCTTCAATTCATTGTATATCATTTCCCAGAATTTTTTTGGGATCTAACTAGCAGTCTTGGCATCATCAAGACCACACTCTAACCAATGGATGAAGTTGGAGCCCTAAGCACCTGGAGGGCACCAGGTTGGAGAAGATAACATCTCTGATCTTCTGTGCTTCATAGCTGTGAATTGCCCTCACCGCTAGATGGCTCCAAGTTTGTTTTTGCATCCCAACTGATTGGAAAGAGGAGAATCAGCTACTGGGGTGGACAAACTGGCCTCCTCCAGATGTTTAACCCCCATTAGCTCCAGTTAGCACAGAGCAGGGACTGAGAGTAGCTGCAGACTCAAACATCTGGAGGGTTCCAAGTTGAGGTCAAAGGCATGGATAGAGTTGGAAGGGACCCCGAGGGTCATCTAGTCCAACCCCCTGCAATGCAGGAATCTTTTGCCCAACATGGGACTAGAACCCATGGCCCTGAGATTACGAGTCTCTTGCTCTACTGACTGAGCTATCCAGGTGGGGAACTTATTTGGGAGACCAAGGTTTAAATCCCCGCTCGGCCATGAAGCTCACTGGTTAACCTTGGGGGCCAGCCCCTGTCTCTCAGCCTAACCTACCTCGCAGGGTGGTTGTGTGGATTAAATGAGGGGGAGAACCATGCGTGCCACCCTGAGCTCTTTGGTGAAAAAGGTGGGGGAGAAATGCAATGATTAAAATAAATAACCACGAACCCCTCTCTCGGTATCAGTGCTTCTCAAGCTTTTTTCCTCAGCCACACTTTCAGAATAAAAATCTGCTTGCGCCACTCCAGTTTTTTATTGAAAAAAAATAAAGAAGCAACTTCAGCAGTTGATTGATTTATAACATAGAACACAACTACTGTATAATATGATCATGGGACGTCCAGTACGTATAAAACAATGCAGCTGCATAAAAATACGAATCATTCCCAAAATATAATATTGATTGTCCCTTGACTCTCCCCTCCATACTTGCCGTCCTCTCCTGCCACACCAGTGTGGCGCATCACACCCTGTGAGAACCACTGATCTATGTGCTTCTGCCGCCTAAGGAGAGTTTTGAAAGAGCTTATAACCCAATTCCATGCTTCCCCTTTGAGGGCACAATTAGAATCATAGAATCATAGAGTTGGAAGAGACCACAAGGGCCATCGAGTCCAACCCCCTGCCAAGCAGGAAACACCATCAGAGCACTCCTGACATATGGTTGTCAAGCCTCTGCTTAAAGACCTCCAAAGAAGGAGACTCCACCACACTCCTGACAGTAAGAGCTGTTCGACAGTGGAATTTGCTGCCAAGGAGTGTGGTGGAGTCTCCTTCTTTGGAGGTCTTTAAGCAGAGGCTTGACAACCATATGTCAGGAGTGCTCTGATGGTGTTTCCTGCTTGGCAGGGGGTTGGACTCGATGGCCCTTGTGGTCTCTTCCAACTTATGATTCCTTGGCAGCAAATTCCACTGTCGAACAGCTCTTACTGTCCGGAAGTTCTTCCTAATGTTTAGGTGGAATCTTCTTTCTTGTAGTTTGGATCCATTGCTCCGTGTCCGCTTCTCTGGAGCAGCAGAAAACAACCTTTCTCCCTCCTCTATGTGACATCCTTTTATATATTTGAACATGGCTATCATATCACCCCTTAACCTCCTCTTCTCCAGGCTAAACATGCCCAGCTCCCTTCGCCGTTCCTCATAAGGCATCTACCATGTCAATTCTACCAGTCTTAGTAGATGAGTGGGCACATGAGGGGAAAGGAAATCTCACAGGTAAACTGGTCCCAAGTTGTTAAGGGCTTTATATACCAAGAGTAGCTCCTTGAACCTGGCCTGGTAGCAACCAGCAACCAGTGTAGACCTCTACAGCAAAGGTTTTATATGGTGATGAGGCCTGTTAGCAATCGTGCTGCAGCATTCGACACTCACTGCAGCATCCAGATCAAGCGCAAGGGAAGCCCCACAAAAAGCACATTGCAGTAATTCAGTCTCAAAGCAACCAGCACATATAGCAGGGTCTCCCAAACTTGACAGCCCACCTGATCCAGACTTGCAAATACACCTCTCCTTAAGTAGGAAGCTGCATAGCACTGGGGGTCTCCAGTCCCACCTGAAAGGGTTGTTGTAAGTCTTGCAGCCAAAGCAATGCACACCAGGTGCTTAGGACACACACACATGCTCTCCCAGTGCTCGATCTCGTGATTAATAGTATCGGTCATGCACAGAAACAAACGAGAGGTGGGCGGGTTTCAGGAGTTGCAAAAACGATCTTTCAGCAGAGCCCAGTTTGGCTCCTGCCTCTCAGAAAAATGCATCTTTAATTCATTTCCTGGACGCAAGTGGTTTTGGTGACTCACCCGCTTGGTGCCGGCCTGTGTGGTGGGTCTGACTCAGCTGAAGTGGACCAGAACAGGGGCGGGCAGAAGATCATTCTAGCTAAATCAGCCATTGCCAACCTCATGGTCGCCAGATCTTTTGGACTACAAATCCCATCAGCTTTAGGCAGCATGGCCATGTTGGCTGGGGCCCGTGGTTGTAGTCCAAAACATCTGGAAGGTACCTGGTTGAAGTAAATCGTTGTTCTTCAGACTTGGGTCGTCAGATGTAGGTGGACTACAATGCTTATCATCCACAGCCAGCTTAGCCCAATGGTCAAGGATGATGGGAGTTATAGTCCACCCACATCTGGGGACCCAAGGTTGAAGAATATGGGAGTAGATTGTGTGCGTGCATGCACAGACTGCTTTAGAGCATGTGATGTTTGTGTGCCTGCATGTGCACATGCTGAGGATTTCCAAATATTGTGCTCTTCATAGCAGTGGGGAGAAAGCGGTCAAGGGAGATGCACACTCACAGAATCAGGGCACCAGGAGGGTCATCTAGTCCAACCCGCTGCAATGCAGGAATCTTTTTGCCCACCACAAGGCTCGAACCCACAACCCTGAGATTAAGAGCCTCATGCTCTACCAACGGAGCTACCCCCTCCTTCCCCTCTCTGTCCTGATGGGGCTGAGGGGCAGGGAGGAAAACTATGAACACAACTCCCAGTCATGCAGAGCAACAGGCTTGTGTGTGCCCATCACCATAAAATAAATACTTAACCCATCAAAGCAATACACTCTGTTGCCTGGGAAATGCTCGCACCAGAAACAGCAGGAGGTGGTGAACAATTTGGTAAATTGTACAAATTTCACCCTGGAGCAATAGTATCCTGCAGTTGCAAATACCTAAGTAGGCAGAGGGCTTTCTCGGTAGTGGCACCTGCCCTGTATCAGATGTTAAGGAAATAAACAATTATCTGGCTTTTAGAAGACATTTGACGGCAGCCCTGTTTAAGGAAGTTTTTAATGTCTGATGTTTTACTGTATTTTTAATATTTTGTTGGAAGCCACCCAGATGAGCAGGGTATAAATAATAAATAACTACTACTACTATGTACTACTACTACTGCTACTAAAGGCTTCTAGATTGGGGTGTGTTTTTTTTTAAGGAACAAATAAGGAAAATCTTTCGATTTAGAATTGATGTACCGTGTACTGCAATGAATTTTTGCTTGTCTATCTCGTCCCTGGGATTCTTTCCATAGGATGGCGTGAAATGCATCTGGAACACAGAATGCTCATAATTCTGTCCAAAACGATTCAGCGGAAGGTAACACTCAACAATATGTAGTGCTTGGTGCATTAAAAGTGTGCATTTTGCTATATAAGGGTTTAGCAGTTGCCTGTGGTATTCATCGTGTTAAATTGTTTGTTAGTTTATTAATTGAATTTCTATGTAGCTCTTCGTCCCAAAGGTTCTCACGTCAGCAAAAACCAGCCCAATTAAAAATAAAATTAAAAAAAACAAATTGAAAGCATCTACAAACAATATTATAAACGCATCTAAGAAGAATTAAAGCTGAAGCTTCTTCTTGCTGGTTGCTTTTCTGGGCTGGCCTTTGATTTTTGATTTTGCAAAAAAAATAAAAATTATTTAAAAAATGGCCTAGGAACTGGAGGCAGGAGTGATCTTCTTGCCCCTTCGTGGGTTTATTTGCCTTTCAGTGGAGGAGAATAAACTTCCGCCTCCCAGCCAGGCGCTGGTGGTTAAGACAGTGTGGAGGTGATCAAAGGCACCTTTGATACACAACAGAGCTCCCTCCCAGCTGCAAACAAACCACAATTCTATTCATATTTATTTACCAACGTTATGACAATATGGAGGCAGGCTGGCTGGCTGGCTGGCTGGCTGGGGCAGGTCTCTGGGCCCTGCATCAAACAAGGCAGGCAGCATCGCTTTAGCAAGATGTGTCAGCGAGATACAGGACAGAATCTTCTGCAAGGAAATATAGCCTGGACCCTGGAGACTGGGATGTTGGCGCTGCTCACGCCTCCTTTTAGAGGAGGGTGGAACAGTCCTCATCTTTTGATGGAGTGGCGTAGGATCCAGTCTTCTATTTCATAAAACTTGCATACCGCTTGATTGTAAGGAAAAACAGAGCAGTTTACAAACAACAAGAATTATAAATAAAAAGTTAAAAACAGCTATTTAAAACAATCAAATAATAATAATTAAAATAAACAATAAGCTAAACACAGATTAAATCATGTCTCAGCATTTTTATAGCTTTATAATAGTAGTTTAGGCATATTTCAAGTCACTTTGTGAAGGATCCTCCCCCCCTTGAGAAACAGGATATTAATACCTAAATATTAACAAAATCATGTTTTTTAGACATCAGTGAAGAACAGACTGTGGCAGAATACTGTAAATAAAACATACAGTTGTACCTTGGATCCCAAACACCTTGCAAGTCGAACGTTTTGGCTCCTGAACGCCGCAAACCCGGAAGTGAGTGTTCCGGTTTGTGAACGTTCTTTGGGACCCAAACATCTGATGTGGCTTCCGCGGCTTCTGATTGGCTGCTGGAGCTTCCTGCCACCAATCGGAACCCGCGCCTTGACTTCTGAACATTTTGGAAGTCAAATGGATTTCCGGAACGGATTCCGTTCGACTTCCGAGGTACCACTGTGCAGGTTACTGGTGGAAGTCTTCAACACTATTAAATTTAGCCAGGGAGGAATAGGAAAGAGAATGAGAAAAGCTATCTGAGGGATTGGGGGGAGATGTCTTTTACTTTCACCTGTGAAACGTTGGAAGGGTGTGGGAAATACCTCTGAGCATGTACAAAGTGTCTTCCCATTTCCCCACTGACTAATCACAACTCATGAACATGCACCTGGGCTGTGTAGGCAACATACATTTAAGCACACCCACCCCACACAAAAGAACGATAATTTATTCCCTCCCAGAACTATAATTCCCAGCACCCTTCACAAACTATATTTCCCAGGATTCTTGGGCATGTGCTTTAAATGTATGGATGCACTCCTGGCTTTAAGGCAAATGCTTCCAGGAGAGCAGGTTGCATTTCTTCTTCTTCCTCCTCCTCCTCCTCCTTCCTTCCATCCTCTCCGTCTCTCCGATTATATATACTTTCGAAATTAAGCCCTGGGTGGATCTTGGTGCTTTGCCACACGGTTAAAACAATCCACTAAACTAAAGCAAACAGGAGGTTCCAGGCTGAGGGTGTTTGTAATGTAGGAGGGAGTCATAATAGCGCAGAGCAAACTCAGGGCAGGGAGCGGCCGTCCCAGGAAGGAATTTTTGCAGAGCCCTCCTCTCAAGAAAGCACCTTGGACCTTAAGGCTGAAACGCTCTCGCGGGGTGGTTAATGAGCCAAGGGGCCAAGTGAGCACAAAGGGTGCCTTTCAAATTTGCAGCGTTGGCCCCCAGCCAGAGCCACCACCCTTGGGAGCAGGCAGAGGGAACTGGATGAAAGGGAGCTGAAAAAAAAGACCAAAAAAACCACCCCTCCATGTTCTGCACCTGCTGTTCTGGCAGCAAAACAGGCCTCTCTCTCTTTGCACCATTATGAAAGGAATCTAGCAAGGCCTCCGCTAAGTCACCCTCCAAAATTTCACAGCAATTGTATAAGGAGAAGTCTAGTTTCAATGTACTGTGGTACCTCGGGTTACAGATGCTTCAGGTTACAGACTCTGCTAACCCAGAAATATTACCTCGGGTTAAGAACTTTGCTTCAGGTTGAAAACAGAAATCGTGCTCCAGCGGCGCGGCAGCAGCAGGAGGCCCCATTAGCTAAAGTGGTGCTTCAGGTTAAGAACAGTTTCAGGTTAAGAACGGACCTCCGGAATGAATTAAGTACTTAACCCAAGGTACCACTGTACTTTTTTGGAAAGCAGCTATGATATTTTCTTTTTCTTTTTAATGAAAGAGATTATACAGTGGTACCTCGGGTTACATACGCTTCAGGTTACGTACACTTCAGGTTACAGACTCCACTAGCCCAGAAATAGTACCTCGGATTAAGAACTTTGCTTCAGGATGAGAACAGAAATCATGCAGCAGCGGCACAGCGGCAGCGGGAGGCCCCATTAGCTAAAGTGGTACCTCAGGTTAAGAACAGTTTCAGGTTAAGAACGGACCTCCGGAACGAATTAAGTTCTTAACCCGAGGTACCACTCTATATGTTGATTTAAAGCAGAGTCTGGTGCCCAGCGGAAGGATGAGGAGTACGTGCTGCATACTCTATATTGCTTTATTTACAGTTCAAAGCTGGTATATTACAGAAAGACATCTTGCCTCTGCCGGAGCAGAAAATGCATCCTCTCTCCTCAACAGCTCGGAGAGAATCACACAGTGAAAAACAGGAAACCAGTGTACGTCACATCCAGTCTCCCTTTCCCGTGAGAAACTCCAACAGTACAGACTGTGGAATGTAAACACCTGTCTCGTGACAAGCAGAGCTGCACAGTGAAGGAAAGCAGAAACCAACATCCTCCCCCCTTTCTGTGAATATCACTGGGCAGCGTGTTTGCACAATATCAGTACAAACCCAACTTCTGCACATAGGTACAGTGTTGATCCCTTGATACAATCTTGGACAATACATCAGCAGGAATTTCATTACCTGGCATATAGGACACCGTTACGAGTCCCTTCTGAATACATTCCCTAGCATGCTGCAACTTTAATTGCAAGTGCTTTGTGCTTTGCTTACAACCTTCAGACTTCAGCAAAGCCAAACATGCTTTGTTGTCCTGGTAAACCTGGATTGGACATTTGACAGGAATTTTCATATCTTTGCACAATTGTACTAACCATTCACAATCCTTAAGTGAATAAGACAGTGCATTCAGTTCGGCTTCACAAGTACTTAAGCTAACTGTTGTTTGCTTCTTGCATGACCAATCAAACAGACTCTGATTGTACATGTAGCAAACTCCAGACGTACTTTTCCTGTCTGTAGCATCACTTCCAAAACTTGCATCTGCAAATATCTCAAGACCACCAGACTTCTGATTGTTAAATCTCAGTCTGTAATGCATAGTGCCTTTCAAATACCGCGCTATGCGTTTCAGAGCTTTCCAGTGTTTGACACTAGGATTGTTGACTTGTCTGCTTAGCAAATTACAGCTAACAGCAATGTCTGGTCTTGAACATCTGGCAATGAAGTTTAGCTTGCCTAGCACACTCCTGTACAGTGTAGTGTCAGAAAATGCTTCTTCAGTGTCATCTACCTGATAACCTGTTGTCATCGGTGTGTCTACAGGGTTAGCATCCATCAGATTTAGTTTGCTTAACACATCAGCAATTTTCCGTGACTGGTGTACTAGAATGTTACCATCTTGATCTCTCTCTATTTCCAGAGATAGGTAGTTGTTTACCTCACCAAGATCTTTCATGTCAAAGTGCTCTTTCAGTTGAGCTAGGGCGTTATTGTACATTGCGACATCTTTCCAAAAGAATAATAAATCATCAACATAAAACAAACAGTACAGTTTCTTTTGCCCCTCCTCTTTGACAAATACACATGGATCAGCTTTCCCTTGCTGAAAACCTAGAGAAAACAATACTTCAGTGAGTTTTGTGTGCCAACACCGTGCACTTTGTTTGAGACCATAAAGGGATTTCTTCAGAGCACAAACAAATCCCTGTTTTACCTGTACGCCATCAGGTGGAAGCATATAAAGTGATTCATCTAGAGATCCGTACAGAAAAGCTGTATTAATATCATGGTGACTAATGTGTAGATTTTCCTCTGCAGCTAGCTTGAGCATAAGCCTAATGCTTTCATATCTCACTGTGGGTGAATAGGTCTCGTGATAGTCTTCACCTGGTACCTGTGCAAAACCTCTGGCTACCAATCTGGCTTTGTGTCTGACTATCTTGCCATTTTGATCTGTCTTCGCTTTGAAGACCCATTTGCTTCCAAGCAGTTTCATTCCTGGAACTATTGGAACTAGCTCCCATGTTTTGTTCCTTTCTAAGGAATCAAGCTCAGCCTTCATGGCATTTAACCATGGCTCAGCTTCCTTTGAATCCAAACCCTGGATTTCTTGGAAACTTGAAGGTTCAAATACCTTCTTGGAGCTTTTAACAGCTGTTACTGCTATCGTAGCAAACTCATCAGCAAATCTCTTTGGAGGTTTGCTTTTGTGGCTCTCTGTGACCTACGAATTAGCCTTAAGTCTTCAACACTCTCCTCTTCCTTCTTAGGAGAAAAACGACCTATTGTGAACAATGGTTCCTCCAATTCTTGATCAGAGCTTTCAGAGGGTCGCATAGAGGCTTCGCACTCTCGAAATCCTCTGAATCACCCGATTCAGTTTCAGATTCAGACTCAGAACTTTCATCAGTGGGTGTGGGCTGTTGTGGTTGCTTTTGACTATCCTCAGTCTCATCACCGTCATCAGGATAACATTGGAAAATTCCCACATTCTCCCCCCCACTTTGCATTGTACTCAACACTTCTCGTGAGCTTAATTGTCTTAGAGTCAGTCATCATTACTCTGTAAGACCCTTTCTGATAACCTAGAAAGATACCATGCAATCCACGCTTGTCTAACTTGGAGTTTTGTGGTGAGCGAACCCACATGTCAGAACCAAAAATCTTCATGTGTTTGATGTATGGCTTCTTGCCAAACATCTTCTCATAGAGGGTACAACCAATCGCTGAAGATAACCTGCGATTGTAACTGTAAACAAAACACGAGAGAGATTCGGCCCAATAACTCTCTGGAAGATTGGCATCATGCAGCAAGGTTTTTAACCCTTGAAGCAATGTCTGATTTGCCCGTTCCGCAAGTCCATTCTGCCATGGCGAGCGAGGACTAGACAAATCGTGTTGAATTCCTTTCTCAGTCAGAAAAGCTTCAAACTGCTGAGAAGTGAATTCCCCCGCGATCACTGAAAAGAGTCTTTATCTTCTTACCATGCACATTTTCCAACCAAGCACAGAATTCCTTGAACCTAGGAAAAGCCTCCGATTTCTGCTTGAGATTGTACACAAAAATATATCTAGAAAATGCATCAATGAGAACCATGAAGTATCTATTTCCACCCAAAGAGGGCGCTAGTGGTCCAACCAAATCAGCATGAACAACCTGGTATGGTTCTGTAGCTTTCCTACTAGACACCTTACCTTTCGCAGCCATTTTCACCTTGTTTGCTGCGCATGCTTTGCACTTCATGTGGTACCTGCAGGGTTTAATAGTCATACCTTCAACCAAGGCAGGCATTTTAGATACTGCCTCAAAATGCAAATGACCAAATTTTCTATGAAAATCGTGAATACATTCTGCATGCAAACTTTTGTTAGAACCTGCAATGCAACAAGTGTCATCCTGCACCACATCATCATAATACAAAACAAACAAACGATCAACATATTCTGCATGCAATACATAATCATTTTTCTTTGTGATGATGCACTTCTTGTTCTTGAAGGAAACGTCAATGTTCCGCTCATTCAGCTGTCCAACGCTGAGCAGATTATGTTTGGCGTCTGGCACGTAAAGCACATTCTGTATCGATAAGTCCAAACTGTGAAGAACAACAGTTCCGTAGCCTTTACTGGGAATAGTGTGGTCATCCGCCTGGTGAATCGCACCTTCCTGCGGTGTAAAAGACACAAACAGTTTCTTATCGTTGCACATGTGGTGGGTCGCCGCTGAATCAACAACGAAGAAAGATCTAGACGTCTTCTGGACCTCTGCAACCTTTGGAGTGAAGCGTGAAACCATAGCCTTGTGCTGCGTTGTCCTAGACACCGGACCTTTGCCTTTGCCTCGGCCTTTTCCGCGCGATGAGCTTTCGCTGCGCTGCTCTGTCTTGGCCCTGGGATGTCTGCATTCCCTCTTCATATGGCCTAGACGTCCACACGAGTAGCATTTCACTGCCTTCAAAGCTTTGGCGCCATCTGGTGGTTCCACTGCACTATGGGATGACGTCTGTGAAGACTCCCCTTGCCCATGCAGCTAGCACCCGGCGATCTGCTTCATTTAAAATCACGGCAGTAACAAAGTCCACTGTCAGCTGAGCAGTTGGTTGCACAGCAATCTGGGTTGCAACAGACTCCCAACCTGAACCCAAAGATTGTAGTATCATGAAAGAATACACAGCCTCTGGAAAGTTGAGTCCTCTCTGTTGCAGCTCATGTCTCAGATTTTGCATCTCCATCAGATGTAAACGCACATCTCCACCTTGAGCAAGAGCCATATTATGCAGCTTGTTAAAGTAAAACATAGTGGATCCAGCTTCTGTCCTTAAGTGAGCCTCTCTCAAAGCGTCCCAAATTTCTCTGGCTGAGGTCTTATCACGCAATAGACAGAGCTCTTCTGGGGATACTATCAATGTAAGAGTTCCCCTTGCTTTGGAATCCTTAGCTTCCCATGCATTTGTAACTGGAACTGGGGGTTCCTGTAATCACCTCAAACAAACCCTCTTTCCGCAGAATTGCCTCTGCATACTGAACCCAGTCGCTGTAATTTTTCTTGTTGAGCTTAGGAATCCCACAAGCATCCTGAAGGGCCATCATGACTCTGGCATTAGCCTTCAGCGTCATATGCTGCTTTAAATCTTGCTGCGTCACTGCTGCAGCTGCCTTATTCCAAAAGCGCACTTAAAAGTTACTTTCGATTTCCCCAGCATAGTGACTTGTGCCTGGGAGCCTTTTGCCTATTCCCGGCAAAACCGGCTTTAAAAGTTCAAAGTCCAGCCATAAAGCCATTAACTTGAAGCTGGCAGGCTGCCCGGAGCAGTAGCACATACCTCATCAATCACCTCTACGCGCAGAGCAGATTCCGTTCCGATCTGTTCCTCTGCATTCCGATCCTTTGCCGGCACTCCGATTCGACTTCTGGGCCCATAACCACGTGTTGATTTAAAGCAGAGTCTGGTGCCCAGCGGAAGGATGAGGAGTACGTGCTGCATACTCTATATTGCTTTATTTACAGTTCAAAGCTGGTATATTACAGAAAGACATATGTAAAGAAATAAAGGCTACGTACATGTTACGCCTTTAAAGCTCACTTGAATCACATTTCATCCCCTCAAAGAATTCTGGGTGCTGTAGTTTGCTCAGGCTTGCTGGGAAGGGGAACTCTGTGAGGGGTAAACTACAGTTCCCAGAATTCTTTGAGGGAAAGAGTGTGCTTTAAAGCTATGGTATGCACATAGAGAGAAGAAAGGGGAGGGAAATGATAGCAATGAGTGCCTTGGCAGTTAAGCTTGGCTGAAGTGTATATAGCATATGCATCGATTTAAGCGTAATGGGGTAGCTCAGCTGGCAGAGCATGAGATTCTTCATCTCAGGGTCTTGAGTTCAAGCCCCACGTTGGGCAAAGATTCTTGCATGGCAGAGGGTTGGACTAGATGGCCCTTGGGGTCCCTTCCAAGTCTATGATTATATGAAAGGGGGCCTGTAGCCCTCCAGAAGAGGCTGGACTCCAACTCCCATCAGCCCCAGGTAGCATGGCCAATGGGCAGGGGATGATGGGAGATGGAGTCAATCAACATCTGCATACTGCAGGCATGGCCAAACTCGGCCCTTCAGCTGTTTTGGGACTACAACTCCCATCATCCCTAGCTAACAGGACCAGTGGTCAGAGATGATGGGAACTGTAGTTCCAAAACAGCTGGAGGGCCAAGTTTGGCCATGCCTGGCATACTGTATATTAGTTGAATGTAGCCCTCCAGGCTTCTCTGCCCAACGCTCAGAAGTCTCCCCAGGCACACCCTCTTAATGGCCCACATTGCACACTCCTGGAGTATTTTGGTCTGGCTGGGATGTGCCCTTGGACTCAGACAAGGCTTCCTGCTTGCTTGCTTGGAGGATAGAAAGGGGAAATTTGCATTCTATTCATTGCTCCTCCCGCTCTTGCATCTGGCCCCGCCTACCCCTGGAAGGCGGCCCCTGGAAGGCTGCCTAGCAGAGAATGTGGCCCTCAGGCTGGAAAAGGGGAACAGGGACGAGCATTGTTTTTAAATAGAAATTTCTAACTCTAATATATTTGTGCGTTTCAGAAACGGAAATGATAAGCAAAACGCAGCGGCTGAAATCTTGCATTTTTACAGTACAATCCAGGGCACATATACTAGGGAAGCAATCTGATGACGCCAAGGTTGCAGGTTCGATCCCCATATGGAACAGCTGCATATTCCTGCATTCCAGGGGGTTGGACTAGATGACCCTGAGGGTCCCTTCCAGCGCTGCGATTCTATGATTCCATTGTGCTCAGTGGGGCTCACACCCCTATTAAGCCTGCTTAGGATCACTGTAGGGCTACTGAACTGGATGGGCTTGGTACAGAACGGCTCCCTAAAATGTTCAAGTCCATAAACGCTTTTCTTGGTGGCACTGACTTCTGCATAAACACGTATTGCAGATAACATCCAAGGGGAGAGAGCACATTTTTTAATCAGCATTATTAGGACATTTGACAGTCTGTTGGTTAACGCTGCGCTTGATAAATAACAACACAAACGTTTGAACACATCTTAATTCAGAAATAATAAATAATATTTTTCCATCTTGCAAAGCAGCCAACGCTTCCAATCATTTCTGGGGTTTTTGTTTGTTGTTTAAAAATCATTTATATGCACACCCCTTTGATTTAAGCAGCATGGAGTTTCTTCTTCCAGAGAAATCTCGGGATAATTTTATACAAAGCCGGAGCATCCATTTGCCTCTCTGACCAAGTGACACACCTTGGTCTTGTCAGTGTAATAACTGTTTTTGTAAGTTTGAAATTGCTGTAGTATAACCGGACTGGGGGACCTGCTGGTGAAAAAAAGGTATTATTGTTACTTATTATTATTCAGCACGTGACACAAGCACAGGGAACTGTGATACTTCTGTTTCTCCTGCCTTTCTTCCAGGCATCTCCCTGTACAGCGGGGATTATTTCGCCAAGGGCGCTTGGGGCGAAGCCGTGACGAAAGAGCCACCCTTCCCCGCAGATGCCGGGCGCGCTTCGTCCTCCGTGGCACTTTCCGACGTGCAAACCACGCACCCGTGTTCCCTCGGGATGCGAGCGGCCTTGAACTCCAGCGGGCTTCCTGCCAAACAACTGCGCTACTTTTTATTTGCTTTGAAGCAAGCAACCAAACAACGGGCGGTTCGGGCGAGACTGAGCCGGGAAACCAGGCAGCGTGGCGTTTGCGCAAAGGTGCGCGCCAGAAGCGCGCTTTGCAAACGCGGACGGCTTTCCCGATTTCACTGCAAAGGAAGAAACCGCCGTTTGCAAGACGAAAGGAACAATGAAGGAGGCCCTTTTCCTTTGCAAAAAAAGGGCTTTCAATCTCCAAATCATGCTGCTGCTTTTTCATGGGGGTGGGCGGGGGAAGGACCGGCGTCCGGGAAGCGCAAATCAATCCACCACCGGTGCCAAACGCACGCGTCCACCAAACCTGATTTAAAGGGGGGTGGGGAGGAAACAGCCCAGCCTCCAATCCCACCCCCATCTCCGCTTTTGGGTCGCATGCATTTTGCACATTGCGCACCAAACACCCCCTCCCCCCGTCCCTTTCCTCTCTCTGGATTGGGCAGCGTCTCCTTTTGTTAGCAACCACTCGCAGCCTGCCATTGGATATCCCTCCACGTCAATTAAATGGGAAGAGGAGGAGGAGTAGGAGTGCCCCCTCCCCCTAAACCCGGAGAGCGCGTGAGGATTCCCTCCCCCGCTCCCCGCCCCCCTTTAAATTCCTCCTTTTTTTTTTTTTGCTTGCAAACATTTGGTGCAAAGAGGGGGAAAGGGGGAAAAAAAGCTGGGGGAAAGAGAGACGAGAGAGCGCGGGGGCTGGGTGGCTTTTGCATGCAAAATGCCCCCCTGCAAGCCATAAAGCAGCAGCAGCAGCAGAAGAAGAATACAGGAGAAGAAAGGGGCGAGAGGAATCCAGGCGTTTCCTCCCCCCCTCCTTCCTTCCTTCCCTCCCTCCTCCTTGGATGGGCAGCCCGAGAGCGGGAGGAGGCGGCGGCGGCTGGAGCGGCGAGAAGGCCTTTTGCAAGGCGCCGGGAGGACCGGGCTCCGTTCCGGATTGGTGCTGAGGCCCGGCAGGATTCACCCCCCCCCTTGCCTCGCCGCCTCCCGGCGTTGGGGAGAAGTTGGATTATTTGGCGAGGGAGACGGGCGCCCTCCTCGTCTCGCTCTTTTTTCCTGGGCTCAGCTGCTGTTTCGGGGTTTGGTTTTTTTTTTGCAAAGGCTAACTTAAAAGGGGGAGAAATCACATTACATTCTGGATTTATCCCTCTGGATTAATTCCTCCTCCGGGCGGTGGGGATGAAGCGGCGGCGGCAGCAGCAACATGGATCCCCTCTGGAAACGGCGGCCGGCCCTTTGCAAGCGCGCTTCGGGATCCTGCGCGGAAATTGCGCCTGAGGACGCCGACCAGGAAAGGAGCAAGTCTGCGCGCAAAGCTCTCAGCATCCCTCCTTCGAAAGCGCACCGCTGCTCCTCGCTCCTCTCCTCCGGGATCTGCCCACTTTCTGCTCCGTCGAAGGCCGACCTGCCCTGACAGCTGGGATTTTCTTTTTTTCTCCTCCATCCGCTTTTCTCTCTCGCTCCCTCTTTTTTCTGGCAACCTCCTGGAGCCTCAGAGATCCAGATTTGGGGAGCTGTTTGGTTTGCAAGCCCCGATCTGCTTTATCTTGCCTGCTCCGGGGCCACATAATTTTTTCCCTCTTCTTACCATTTCCTCCACGCCAGTTTTTGTTGTTGTTTCGTTTGCCTCGGGCGAAAAAATAAATAAAATCGGGATGTTCTTGCACGCCAGATTCTCTGTAGCTCCGGATTGCTCGCGAGGAGGTGTTTGTGGCCTAGCAGGCAGATGAAAGGGATTTGGCCCTGGTCAGTTTCCACTCTTGGTTTTTAAAAGGATCCTGCTTTTTTTATACATAGAGAAATATTTATACAAAGGAGAACGAAGCTTGCACATTGTGTGTTTTTGGGTCCCTCCCCTTTATTCCTCTTTTAAAATAGTGGACGAAAGTTGGGGAAAGGAGAAGCTCTGATTTCTGGCCTCGTTCTCGTCCTCCTGTTTTCCTTTCTTCCCTGGGTAGGCAACGCCATGTCTGCTAAAGATAATCCCTGCAGGAAATTTCAAGCTAACATTTTTAACAAGAGCAAATGCCAGAATTGTTTTAAGCCTCGCGAGTCGCACTTGCTCAACGATGAAGATCTGAACCAGGTGAGACGTGGGTTGAGAGAGGGCGTTTTGGTGTCAGGGGGTGGAGGATTCTAAACGCAATATTTGCAGTTATTCCTGTACTTGAAGGTGGCTCCTACTGAGCGCTGCTGCTGCACACATTGTTAAACGACAGCAGAGGAACAGGCCTTGCCTGCCTGCCTGTTTATAATACTGAAGTAGTGGAAGAGGGAGGATGTAATTTGAAAAGGCCACTGGCCACAGTTGCTTTATTCTTTTGCAAACAGGAAAAGAATGTATCTCTGTGTTCTTTCCTCCCCTTTTGACTTTGACCAGAAGTGTGACCTCATAACCATGACACACGCACAACAGAACCACTTTGTGATGTCAACACTTTCTGAATCATTTATATATAAAAAAAGAGATTATATTTTTTTATTTTCGGGGAGTGGAATCAAAACAGGTTTCTCTTCTCTTCCTAATCTATTAATCTTTCTGACTGGAATTGTTAGCCTGCAGAAGGGAATTTTAACATCTACGCGCCACCCATGCAAGGCATCTGGATTGCTAACCAGGACACCAGCTCTTGCTGCAAACATTTCTCTCCCCCCCCCCCCGTCACCTTGAGGGTTAGAACCTTAAAATGTTTCCAAAAGCCTGTCTCCACCATATCAAAGGCAGGCAGACCCGGGCGTCTGGGAGAGGCTATTTATTTTTATTTTTTTTAGGTAAACCCTTTGTAAATTTGCCCTTGCAATTTATTTATTTTTAAAAGTCGTGTAGGTGTAAATGGCAGAATCTGGGACCATTGAATTCAAGTGCGGTGCAGAAGTATGTCTTTAAAACACACCCTCCTCCTGTTCAGGCTGCTGTTGATAAACACGATATTCTGTATATGCACCCCATATGTAGTGGCAGGAGGGGTGTGGGGGAAGCGTATCCCTCCCTGGGCTGATGATCAAACAATCGGTTGCTTCTGTTCCCACCCTCCCCCTCCTCATTCCACACTACTTCTGACATCCATGGTTACAATCCTATTATGGAAATGAGATCAGTCATATTGCAGAGCTGGGAGGGGGAGGGGGGCACACACACAGAGAGAGAGAGATAATGTAATCTGGAAGCTAATATGGAAAAAATGTATTTCTCTGAGCAGCGTTGTACAAGTGCATAACTGATCAGAAGTGTTTGCACAAAGCCTGGAGGGGCTGAGGGTTTGGCCAGTGGTTCTTCAAGCAACAGCAGCTGCTTTCTGGTTCTTTGCAAGTTCTGCTTTTCTCTCCTTCTTGCTGTTTAGTGTGAATCATGGAGCAAATTTGTGATGTGGCTAATTTCTCTCTCTCCATCCATTAAAAAAAAAAAAGAAGAAGAAGAAAGCCCGACAGATAAATAACTCTGCATTTGTTTTGCTGAAAAGGGGTATAGTTTCACTCTCTTGTTCAAGGGAGGGAGTTTTACTTATATACTTATATCAAACTTATTTGTCACCTATTTTGTAAACAAAGTGTAACTCAAAAGCATCTCATGACAATAAACACATTAGATCCAGCGTAAGACAGAGGGTGGGGAATCAAATGGGAACATTTTTTTAAAGGCAGGATTTAAACAACCTGCCTGCTTAAGTTCATTGAGAGCCAGTGTCGTGTCGTGGTTAGACTAGACTAGGACCTGGGAGAGACCTGGGTTCGAATCCTCACCTGGTCATGAAGCTCCCTGGGTGACCTCAGAAGCCAGTCACTGGGGAAGAAGTTGGGCTATGGATGTGTTCAGTAAGTAAATACACATGTACCCTGACTACTTCTTAAGATTAGGGTGTTGCTTGGTAAGGTAGCATGCCTGGCCTGGGTCGCTCAGGTGAGATGATGATGGTGACGACAATGAATTTACCGTATTTTTTGCACCATAACGCTCACTTTTTTCCTCCTAGAAAGTAAGGGGAAATGTCTGTGCGTGTTATGGAGGGAATGCCTACGGGTGGCAGGCCTACGGATTTTCCTCCTCTAAAAACTACGTGCGTGTTATGGTCGGGTGCGTGTTATAGAGCGAAAAATACGGTAATTTGCATGCTGCCTTGTACCTGCAGGTCTCAGGGCGGTTATGGTCACGCTGTTTCTGGAACTGCACCCCTTTGAATTTTGGGTTGGGGGCCTGCCACGTGGTTGAACGCATCTCTGTGCACCTCTCAATTGAAAAACCACCAAAGTAATGGACGTAGAATAAGAAGATTGTGTGTGTGTGTGTGTGTGTATGTATGTGCACACGCACCAATCTGTTGGGTCCGGTGGGTGTGTTTGCACACCTGTCATGCCAGCCCTTCCCACACGCCAGCCATGCACACGTCCTGCTCTAGTGCGTTGACTACAATGGAATGTTTCTTTCCTGCCTCATTTCAGCAAGGCTGGGTGGGTGGCCCTGCGGGTGCCGAGAAAAAGCCTCCATGGGCAGCTGTGCACCCTGGGGGGGGCGTGTTGGTGAGTGCCATGTGCCCTTTAAACTGCTGCGTTTGGTGCAGGTTTATATATATGGGGGGGAGCATTCAAGCGTGTGAACCGACCCCACCCCCACCGCCGATTCTGAAGTGGTACAGCCCTGACATAAGCGAGCCACCTCAACATCATCTGTCGAGTGTGAAAAGTAGGCCGTTTATGTGTTTTTCTGGATGCTTTTTTAAAAAAACCAGTTTCTGCATTTTTGTGAATGCGCTTCGCTCAACTGAGAGCTCCTTAGGGACCCAGCTGGTTTGTTTCTGTTGCGTTCAGTGCCTGTTTCGTTTTGCTGATGATTACAGGACAAGGGTTTGGTTTGGGTTGGGGGAAAACACACCCACCTAACGCATCGTAATTTACCATGCTACCTTGTTTTGAATCAGGACAATGTTCATCCTGTAGTCTGATGCCACAGTTAGCTGCAATATCAGCAGGTCTAGGTGTCTCCGGGGAGCCCCACAAACAGGGTGCGAAAGCAGCTGCCCCCTTTCTTCCTGCGTGGGGAGTGGGACCCAGTGTCTTCCAGTTGCACTGGGGCTACCGACTTCCATCAGCCCCAGTCAGCATAGGCCCGATGGTCAGGCCTGGTGGAAGCTGGAGCTCTGCAGCTCTTGAAGACCACAGGTTTCCCAGCTTGGGGCTGAATAAGCAAAACAGAGCCTCCCATTTTCCCAGGAGGGTGTTATGTGTGAATGCCATGTGCTGGGAAGAAAGTTTTGCTGGCTGCGTTTCCATGGGGCATCTGGGTGGAAAAAGAAGGCTGGAACAGATGGGATAGCTCAGTTGGCAGAGCGTGGTGCTCTTAATCTCAGGGATGTGGGTTCAAGCCCCTCGTTGCGCAAAAGATTCCTGCACTACATGGGGTCAGACTAGATGGCCCTCACGGTTCCTTCCAATTCTACAAGTCTATGATTCTATCTTGGGTCTGTCTACTGAGGCGATTCCCTATGAACCTGAATGCAGATTTGCTTTTAAAATTCCAAGTGGCCCACATAAAAGATCAGGAAATGATGGTTTGGGAGCAATTTAGTATAGAGTTCACGTTCTACTCTTTCCTGCCCTGATTTCAGCCCGTAAATCCACTTTTGTAAGTTGGCACTGACTGTGGGTGGCTGCTTCTGATGACCATGGGCCTCCTTGTTCCCCTTTGTCAATCTGCAGGGAGTGTTTCTCCTGGGATCAAATTGGGAGCTGATCTCTAGAAATACCTGGCTGTGTGACAGGGCAGGTTATCCCTTCCCTGGTCAGAGGCTACAGACAACGTGCTCCTCACTGGTTGTAAGCTCAACTCTACAGCAAGGAGCCGCTGCTTGCTTGCCTTCCTGCACTAAATGGGCTGAGAGTTCTCTTGCATATTCCATTGCATAATCTCTGTGTGGGTTGCAGAAGATGGGCAGGTGTTTCTGAACCTTGGTTGTTTAACCATAGCAACAGCTGAAAGGACCTTAACCTAGGGTTACCAGACGTCCCCGGTTCCCAGGGACAGTCCCCAGATTTTCAAATCTGTCCCTGGACAAATTCTATCCCCGGAATGTCCCCAGATTTGCAAATCTGTCCCCGGAGCCAGCCTGGTAGTGCAGTTGGCTCTGGCTGGCTCCGGGCTGTTGACTGCCACTGCCGCCGCCACTGCCAAGGGGGAACCGGGGACGTCCGGTGGTACAGATCTCCTGCCCCCTTTGTTTTGACTGATGGGGGAGGCTTGGGAGTTGTGGGCGGGTGGCCGTTGCCCAGGAGGGGTACAAGGTGCACTGTTTCTCTGTGGGCAAGGTGCAAAGCCCTTCTTTTGCACCCTGTGAAACATAAAGGCGCAGAGTTTTTTAAAAACTGGGCAACAGCGCGCCACCTGCCCATGATTCCTGAGCCTCCCCCGATCTCCTGCCCCCTTCCCCCTTTGGTTTGACAGATCGGGGGAGGCTTGGGAGTCGTGGGAGGGCAGCCATTGCCCAGTTTTTTAAAAACTGTGCATTTATGTTTCAGAGGGTGCGAAAGAAGGGCTTTGCACCTTTATACAATATGCATGTGTGCTTGGGCCCAGGGTCTTTTGCCTCACCATCCCCACTACTAACTCTCTGTTGCTACTCAGCTTCAAAAAAGAAAAAAAAAAGTGTCCCCGGATTCATTGAAAAAAACTGGTAACCATACCTTAACCTCTAAAGTTGAGCTGCTGAAATCAGTCTCATAGAGTTGGAAGGGGTTCCGAGGGTCATCTAGTCCAACCCCCTGCAATGCTTAGGAGAAAACTAGGAGCGAAAGCGGACACTCTCTTCCTCTGATCATGAGCCTTTCCACTAGTAGGAGGTTGAAGGAACCTTTTGGTCTAACCCTGGGTGTGTTTTTGATTGCATTTATATCGTGCCTTTTTCTCCAGTAAGATCAGAGTGGTGCACATAGTTCTCCCCATGTTATCCTTACAACAACCCTGTGAGGTAGGTTAGGCTGAGAGACACAGTGATTGCCCCCCCCAGGTCACCTAGCTAGCTTCGTGGCCAAGAAGGGATTTGAACCCTGGTCTCCCAACCCTCTGGCGGCTGCAAAAGGCTTGCAGACCCAGTACGGATCCTGCAGACAAATGCTTTGATTGAGCAGGTGGTTAATCTCAAAATTCTCCTCCTTAATCCGAAATTTGCGGCTCTCTACCCAGACTCCACCTGCACACCATGCATTTAAAAGCATGGCTCCCCTCCCTCCCCAAAAAAGAACCCTGCAGTTTACCTGCATGGAGCTACAATTCCCAGCACCCTTAAGAAACTACAGTTCTCACAATACTTGGTGGGGAGTCATGTGCTTTAAATTTGTGATGTGGGTGTGTGACCAGAAAATCTCGTTTGCCCCGGGCTTTGGATGGTGGATGAAATAGGAAAAAAATATATATCTCAAAACGAAACATGTGGAGATTCCGCAAGTTTGAAGTATACTCATCTCTGGACTTGGCAAGTAGAGATTTTGTGACCTGCCAGGTCAAATGCAGTCTGCTCGTGGCATGATGGTAAACCGTCTGGGGTTTTTGCCTGATCGTCAAATGTTTTGCAGGCTGCTGTTCAGTTTGGTTTGGCTGCAAAGTTTTTTACATTTTGCTCCTTTGCTTCTTTGACGAAACCAGGGGTCAGCAACCTAAGGCCCATGGGCCGGAAGCAGCCCACGGAGGTCGTTTGACTGGCCCACGAGCCACCCCCAAACCAAGCCGCCCGCTGTGCTAAACCGGTGCAGCGCAGTGCGGGAACTCACTTCCGCAGTGCCAGAAATCGCGTCTGCGCAGACGCCAAAAATTGCAGGTGGGCACACTCAGGCACACGCGTAATCCGGCCCATGGAGGGATCTCTGCGGGACCAATCCTGCCCAGGCAAGATAAACCTTGCTGACCCCTGGACTAAGCCCTGCCTCTCACCTGCTTATTTGAAGAACTGAGCTACCAGTCGGACATCTATGTTGTCTGATGGAAGCAGGGGTGTTTGGAGGGAGTCAGATCACATGGTGACGGGAGCAAGTCAGCAGTAAATCACACAGAGCAAGATGGAGTTAACTCTTTGTTAGCAGAAACAGGTTTGACACGAGGGTCAGGACTAATGAGTGCAGCAACTCATCTCCAAAAGGCATTGCCCCCCCCCCGAAGCAGTTGCTGAAAGTCTCTGCCTCCTCACAGCTGCCTAAGTCCCTTCCTCTTCAGGGTTTCCCCCAAGCAATCTGAGATTGCGCTTGCATGAAGCTAACTCCTCCGCAGCCCTTTTCATGCCTCTTCTGGTTCTGGGAGACAAGTGGGGAGGGGAGCTTGTTGCATGAAGGGGAGACACCCGTACCTCTTCACCATCCGGACTCCTCTCTGCCTCTTGGCCTCCCTCCTCTCCGTCTTCAGCTTCTGCCTCTGAGTCTGGACTGCTCTCTGCCACAGACTCCTCCCGCTCACTAAGCCCCGTGACCTCTTCAGCTTCCAACACCTCCTCTTCCCATTCTTCTCCCTCTGACCACTTGTTGTCATCCCACCACCAAATGCCTTGGTACTCAAACAACTTGGAACACAAACACTGCAAACCCGGAAGTAAGTGTTCCGGTTTGTGAACATTTTTCGGAAGCCGAACGTGCTCCGTTTTGAGTGTTACGCTTCCGATTTGAGTGTTACCCTGAGGCCTGTCTGTTTTTGTATTCATTCTGCGTTTTCGTTACTGTGTGGAACCCAGTTCAGCTACTGATTGATTGATTGTGTGACTGCCGTACATTGTTTATCGCTTTCATTTTATGGATCAGTGGTCTCGTTAGATAGTAAAATTCATGTTAAATTGCTGTTTTGGGGGTTGTTTTTAAAAGTCTGGAACGGATTAATCCATTTTGCATTACTTTCTATGGGAAAGCGCACCTTGATTTTGGAACGCTTTGGTTTTGGAACAGATTAAGTTTGAGAACCAAGGTACCAATGTATAGGAGGTTTGTGAGTCCCGCCTTTAAGCAGAGGGGGGTGTGATTGGTGAGTTGCAAATTGCACTGTCATGACTTAATCGGCACTTTTATTTATTTACTAGGGTTTGCGTCCAGGCTTGCTCCACTCTCTAACCTCCCTGCCATTAACCCACATTAACCCACTTCCATGCCACAGCCATTGAGGTTGTGCATCACACCAACCCCTATTCCGACTTCATGCAAATCCAGGATTGTGATGCAGCGCCGCTCATCCTCCAGTGGGGGCTGTGTGACGACAGCCTTCCATTTTTATGCATATAGGAAGATACATGTAATTTTATGTCCTTCGTTACAGGGCCCCTGGAGCACATTACTATAATTAAAAAGCATAAACCATTCAGAAGGATTAAAAACACAACACGCGGTTCAATAAAACCTTTCCCCCTTAAATGCTTGTTTGTACAAAAAAAGGGGCTGTTATACACTTCAAAGAAGTGTAAGCATTTACAAATACGAGTTTAAGCTCTAATGAAAGCCACAAATATAAAAATGTTTTGATATGGAAACAGAAATAAAAACCTAAATTAATGTCGCAGTGTAGGGAGAAAAACCTCAAGGTTTGATTTCATCTTGAAATTTGTTATCTGAAAAATTAATAAACAAAGACCATTTTCCCAGGCTATGTGTTCGTCTTCTTAAATGGCTTCCAGAAAAAATAAGCTGGTTTAATCAGCAATATAGTGTACCATGTTTTTCTTAACTGCTCTGTGATTGCAATGGTTTGTCCAGTTCCAGATTCTGTGATCTGTATAATCATTGCAGACAATTTCTATTTTTACATATCCCATAATAATTCCCCATCCCTGGCTGTTGACCGTATGGCCTGGCGCTGATGGAAGTTGGGAGCCCAGGGACATTGGGAGGCCCCATACATTGGCAACACAGGCATATCGCGGGCACCAGGTTGGGGAACGGTGGCGTGTTCTTGCTGGGCCAGCGATCTGGCGAGCTCCATCCTTGGGTGCCAGGAGGAAAAGCGTTATGGGAGAGATTTGCTTGTGCTCCTCGAATTCTGGAGGAAGCACCAGCGTGTGGCAAGCTTCCAGATGTGTATTGGTGCCCTTTCCTGCAAGGTCGGATCCTGCCAGAAAAGTAGTGCCACTGCAATGCGAGCTGCTTGTGTTTGGGTGTTTTTTTGCAAAAGAGGATTGGCAGCATTTGCATACAATTTGAAACTCAACAGCTGACAGCCTTTGATGTGTTCAAAGAGTTAGCGGTAAGATCAGATTGAACCCCAAGGGTTGGGCTTTGCTAAATCACACACTCTGTATTTCCTGTAGCTTGAGACCACAGAACTTGATAAGGCTTTTTCTTCTCCGTTTCCTTAAAATATGCTTTTGCTGCAAGGAAAGGAAGCCCCGTAAGAAACCCGGGAGACCTGCCCCGGTTGCT